ACTGATAATGTCCAGGGATAGAGTTTCATTTTGCTGAGCTTCAGAAAATTTTACAGCTTTCCTTATGAATCAAAATTCTTCATCACTGTTCATTCTCACAGTTCCTAGGAACGTTTCATACATGCAGAAGAACGTTACTGTAGTCAACAAAGATGCACCTATATACAAAGACTTTTCCTATATATGCGTAACACGTTTACAACATCAGCTGTTCACTTTGACAAATTAATTGTCAGTGACTGCAGGATCTCAGAGCAGCTTCCTAGTATGAAAATTCTGTGACTTCATAACCTATTCAGATTTTCTAGAGAGACTCCATAACAGAAAGCACAGAGCTAGGAATAAAACTCAGGAGCTCTGACCACTAGTCATTTGCTTTAATAGTTCTGCATTGCAGGCACTGGAGACTGTCCCTAATCATATAAAGGGGTCATTTCAATACACTTTCCTTATAATTGATTGGGGCAGCATCCTTTAAAACCAGTGAAGGAAGCTCCATTATACTTCATGATTCATAGCAATTATACTCTAGGGAAGAAAACTTACTTAGAGTCCAACCTGTATCTTCCTTGGGATTTTAATAACTTTTGAGAAACCAAAACTTCCAACTCAGTTAATTCTATGATTCTATGCAAATCCATTTTTGGGTGTTTTTAAAGACATAAGAATGACCAAAAGATAAAGCAAGTATCTCCTGGTTTACTTTTATCCCCTTTGTTTTATTTAGATCTCATGGGTATCATCTAAGCACTAAATTTGATCTTTTGGACATAGAGTCCACATTTTCTGGAAAATATTATAAATACGTAACAGAGTATGACACAGACTCACGTTTGAATGAAGATATCTCGTCCTCCTGTCAGACAGCACTCTCGGTTAAGGATATTTAATATGTTTATAGCAAGTAATTTTCCTTTCCCTAAGTTTTTAAAGGAGCCCAGGAAATAACAAAAGGAAGAAAAACAAATCGAACCGAATCACATTTTTAACTCTGTCATACTTTTTCTTGCAGCTGTGTGAAGCTGGGAATTTTTCCATTCATGTTGCACTCAGTGACCTCCGGAGAAATGGTAAAAACTGAATAATCATTTTTCAATTTTGCTCAGCCATTCAGTACTACTTAAGTTACTCTGCCTCGTGAAAGAGCTGATCCTGGGGGGTGTTGATACCTGTTAGCTGACTGCTGTGGGAGCACAGGTTACTCAGCATTGTAAAGATTGTATTTTAAGGGAGATCAGACAGTGCAAAGAATCCAACATCAGACTGTTGAACAGCACTTCTTATCTTACAGTAATTTTTATTGCTAAGGGCCAGGTTGTGTTGCTGAAGCAGTTATATTGGTTACACTAGCAGTGCAAAAGGAAACAGTGCTAGTAAAAGCTATGATTTGGTGAGCAAGAAAAAGTAATTTCACTGGCTTCTGTAGGGGGCACAAGATCTCTGTGCAGATCAGGGTTTCTTGGGCATGAGCCAAACATCTTACAGTGATCAGCTGTGCCTGCTAAAATCCCATTCTGTGACAATTTGAGAAAACCTTGAACTTCTAAACTTAAAACTTGAGGTACCTCTTCTTACAGGAGTGACTGTGATCAAAGGCCTAAGTAGATGACTTTCTAATGCCCAGAACATTTCCTCACAGTTATCCTATTCCTTCTTGTGAGTCCAGAGGATATCCTGTCTCCCCACATCCTGCTTGTCCCTCTCACAGTCATGAGACATGGGAGTAGACAGAGTTGGGTTGTCTTTATAGGAAACAATGTATTTAGGAGTGTGAATATTTTGTAATTTGTTTTCTAATCTATAGGATCCAAAACCCGTAAGATCCCATATCCAACAAAGAATCCTTTCACATGGCTGTTTTTCTTTGTATCTTGCCCTAACTATACATATGAGGTATGTATTTTCAAACAAGATATTCAGATTTTAGCTTTGCTGAATATATTTTCATTTCTTTTGGAATGTTAAACATGGAAGAAACCTCTGAAACAGTTGAGCTCTGTACATTTCCCCTCCTCCTCTACACCCCATTAAACCAGACTGGATGAGAACTTGTCTGCTCTTCCTCCCCTCCCGAGGCAGTACTGATGGGCTAAACTTGAACAGACACACTGTAAAGCAGTGCAAATTCTGCCACCAGGGACAGGGAGATTGCCACTGAATGTGTGTTGCAATGAGGGGATGGGGGTGTCTGGTAGATTTGTAACACAAGATCCCAGAAATATCACAGCAGGCAGGAAGATAGGGTCAGACAAATAGAAGATACTGTGCTAGAGAAAATAGGCTGCAGTCTTTTCTGAAGTTACACAGTCACTTGTGTTGGTGGTGACTGCTTTAGAAGCTTGAATCAATTTATAATTTCGTATTCCTTAATCAGGAGCCAAACTCCCAGCTGAGTTCCAAAGCAGATAAAATCAGCACAATTCAGTGTAACATTCACTCTTGCACAGAAGGACAGCACCAGGTTTTAAATTCAGTGGAGATTAACAGATGTTAAAGAGAAGAGCATTTGATTTCAGACTATAGAAAGTTACCATTCCTAGCACTGATGGAGGTCTGACAAATACAAATTAGGCAGAGAAACAGAAAGGACATTGTAATGCTTAAAATTATTGTAATAGCTATGGAAGCAAACACGAAGGTTTTGTTTGTGATAATAAGGCACTGTTCACCATCTTGGCTAAAGGTTGTTAACACTAGAAATTGATTTGGCTGATCTTGGCTTTTTTATTTACCTGTACTAGGACAAGGTTATTTTGATCAATAGAGACATAAATGCAAATGCTGTCACCAGAAATATTTTAAATTTCCTTGGCCAAAACAGGTGGGGACCTGGATCAGTTTCACAATCATGACTCAGTGTGTTCCAGGTGAGTAATGTTTTGGTACTTTAACCTGAACTGATGTCAGCAGCAAGAGCAAGTTTTTCATCTGATAATGAATCTTTTTCTCCTTTCCTTCCAGTGGGGCTGTTTACCTTGCTTTGCTTCATTCAGATGACAATCTGGGCAAAGGATAAACACTACACCTACTTACGAGAATTCAAGGATTATCCAAGTCATAGAATGCCAATTATTCCCTTTTTGCTGTAAGAAAAGAAGGTTCAATTTGAATATTGCACAGAACTTCAAGAAGAAAAACCTCATAAACCTCCTGCCAAATAAATGAATTAATTTAAAGGATTTTGGTGCATGTTGAATCACAAGGGAAATTGTACGCACTTGAAAGCTACACTTCCTTACATTCAAGAATTCTCAACTTACAAGCACCTTAAAAAATAAAGCTTCATTGCACAGCCGGTAGTTGAAAGCCCCTGCAGTTCACTGTAACCTGACTGACTTAGATTTTTCTGTACTAGTCTATTTAGATTGATGGATCAGAAATACTGAGAAGTCTGTGCTGAAAAGCAGCTCCAAATTTAGCAGTGGCATTCTGCAAGACAGAAGTGCATTGGAACGAGGACATACCAGCTAACTACTAGAGCTCAGTTCAGCCAGCACGGGCAGCTGGCCTGAAGACGGTTGCATGATCTGCCTTCTTTGACTTGAAGAAGAGCGTGCTGCCTGGGGGCAGGTGCTTTGTAACAAATAACATTACCAAAGATTATGAATGGTTCCTGGAATAAAGAAATAGGCAATATCTCAAAAACCTGATTTGGGTCGAACCCCTAATTTGCCAAAAGAGTCTGAAGTAAGAAGTATTTGTCGTATTTGTGAATGTAACATCCTCCGCTGGGTTTTTTTGTTTGTTTTTGGTCTTCATTAGTAAATTGCATACGAGTAAATAAGGTTCAGAAGCAATCTGATCTATGCTATATCTTTGATATTTGGCCTGTTTTCATGTAACAAGCCCTTATGATACTAAAGGACCTTTTACCCAAGCATTTTACACCAGGCTTCTTGGAATAGTTTTTAATACACTTTGTAAATACATGAAGTGACTGCTAGTCCTCAGAATGCTTTTCCTATTTTCAGAGCCAGGGAGAAAAATCAGCTACATTTTGGACTTCCTGTGTTTTCTTTTTCACAAGATGTTCAGTGGGACTTAGCTGGGTTTTGTGTAAATCCAGTAAAAAAGGCTGTTGAAATCTATCTGAAGGATATTTTAAAGAAGCTATTCTAGAATACGAAGAGAATGCATAGATACTGTTTTGTTTCACAATTACTTTATTTATCTATAATGAATGTATAGAAAGATTTTTGCAACTATTTGTAAGGACAAAATACACAATAAATTCCAGACTATGTTTTGAAATCAATTGAAATAATTATGGCAAAAAGAGAAGGCTACAGCTGGTTGCTGAAATTTTGCAGTATTTTGTACAGTACAGAGCAAGAATGTCCTTATAAAAAAATATATCTATATCAATTAAAGAAAAAGACCTTTCAAAGCAGAAATACATGACCCAGATTTTACTTCTGTATATATATCTTAAGGAAGATTTCTTAGAAATGGTTAGATCTGGTAGATAACTAAAACAATACGTCATTATGAATTTGTTTTCAGTATTGTTTTTTTCATTAGTTTGTGAACTAGTGAACCAGAGAAAAGGGTTAAATGTCAAATGATTTCCCACTGAGTGTAGTGTGGAGTACAAGCAGGTTGAAATTTTCCTTCTAAGGAGAGAGAAAGCACATACCTATTCATACTTTACAGCCACTTAATGTCCAGTCACAGGAAAGAAGAAAAATTTGATCTTGTTTAGTAACAAAGATATCTTTCCAGGTCTCCACGAGAAAACAAAACTTTTGGCAGATTTGGATATATTCTCTTTCTTTTTAATCTTCATTTTGACATTTGGCCTCTGTTTGAGGCAACTTGAAGATGAGTATGAGATCATTTCAATTAATTTTTTTTAAAGCATGCTTCTTGTCTGGGTCTGAGATCTGAATTAATTCTTTCCATTCTTGCTGAGACAACCATCTGTTTTCACTGGCAGCCTGGTGAGACAGTGAAGCAATCTCCCAGCACCAGGCCCATCAGCCAGCACTGATGTTCTGACCTTGGCAGTCTCGTGCAGGAATCTCCTTCTAAGCCGGGCAATGCTCTCTGCCTTGGGACCTGTCTGCTGGCTGGTAGCAGCTGACATAAGGGTTAAACAAGAAAAACCTACCAGCCTGAAAGCACCAGACAGAGAAACTGTCTTTGATGTTATTTATATGTCAACTAGAAGGAATGAGACTTCTCTTCTCGTATCTTATAATCAACTTTATGTTAGAGGAAGATTTTATTCTATTGCAAGGACCTGCCTTTCCTTTGACACTGTCATGTCAGGTAGTGTTCTTGGCAGAGCAGTAGAAGTTGGCTGTTGCTAGGGCTGTTGTTGTCGAGAGCACAGTGCTCAGAAAAGTGCAAAAAATCAGTATAATACTGAGTGTGGGAACCTCTGTTATAGCCTTGTGCTGCTCTGGTACGACACATCTTTGCCCTGTGCACTCCCTAAGCACTGGTGACTGTAAGAACAATCTATGCAACTGCCTGCTTATTCAAAGCAGGGGACACCTTTGCTTCTCGGCCGGCTCCAGCTGCACGGGGATGCAAAGGAATTTCCTCATCCTCCATCTGCTGTTTAGCAAAGTTCACAAAAACCTGTGTGAGGAAAGCAGAAAAGGTCACCATTTTCTTGACCGAGATGAGTTACTGGAATGACCACTCTTCAGGAAGGAGACAGGGGAATCCATAGACTGAACTGAGGCACTGCATTATCAGCCAGGATCATGATTTCCTCCTTTATTTTGATAAACTTCCCTGTAAATTCCTTTCTTGTAACTTCCTTCCTTTGAACGCACTTGCTGACAACTAAAATCCTATTTTTTCTTAAGGAGGAGATGGGTTCAGCAAGGTTTGCACTTCTTGCACAGTGTGAGTTTGGTTGTGATAGGAAAGAGGAGACAGAATATTTTAGTAGGAAGCTGAAAGACAGCCAGGAATGTCTCTCTAGCAATCCCATCAAAGACAGCTTTGCATATGTGGACCCTCAGTTACTTAGGAAAGCAGACAGATGGGGCCGATACCCTCTAGCAAGTGGGTGTTGCCAAAAGTCCCAGTGGACTTCCCAGGTTTTGAGTGTCTAATTGCTTCTCACAGCATCTCTGACACAACACCTTCCAAACCTCTTATTTAAAATAAAATGTTATTCTCAGCTCAACCTCATTCCAAACTGCTGACCTTGCTCAGATGCTGCTGAAGGAATGGGTTGTCTGAATTCTGTCATCTGGGAAATGCTGTCTTACCAGCTTTCAAATGGCACCTATTTATACGGGGAATAAGTTGCAGATTCATACTGATCCACCCTCCTTGAGGAGAGGCCTGGGAATTTTACCTGAGAAGAAGGTGCAAGATAATTCCCTATTCTGAACATTTTGGCATTTCAGTTGTTTGGACACATCTGTGCTGTGTTGCCTAATTCTCACAAGACAGGCTTTCTCGTGGATGTTTTACTTTTTACTCACCTGATCTAAAGTTGTTTGAGACACAGAATATTCTTCAATATGCAAGTTTTCCTTATTGGAGACTATTAACCGAAAAATCTTCGCCAGAGAGGAGGAGCAAATCTGATACTGCAGCATGTTGTAGTGTTTCTCTCTCTGTAAACTCCCAGGGAAGTTCATGCGTATGAATTGCTCAGCAGGAGCAGGATCTGGAGGCAACCCAGACTTTGGAGCTTTGATTTTCAGAGTGACAATGTAGCCGTCTCCAAACCTGGAAAGCATGGGTGGGTTTGGGAATTGGATGAAGAAATGGTTTCATCATTCAGGAAGGAAATTAATTTTCCGCAGCTATGAAAACATGAACAGTATTTGAAAGCTATTGCATAAGATGTAGCTTTGTAGGAAGCCCTGTATTTGCCCTGCAGAAGTGATGTGTAGCGTAACAGTTGAAATGAGATCTGCTCAGATTATCTGGGCTACCACAGAGTTGCATCCAGAAATGGGTCTGGTTAAACACTGAAGAATGGTACATGGGACATATGCTAAGTTTTCTCATTAAAAAACACTATACAAATATTCTACTTACTTGTATTTTAGCTCCTGAATTGTGCCTAGGCATTGGAAGGTACCTTTCACCATGATGGCTAAACGAGTACAGAGGGCTTCACATTCTTCCATGCTTTCAAAACAGAGAACAGATTTTTGATATAAAAGCCAACAGATGAACTTCAGTTACTCTTGGATTCTGAATTCTAACTGTGTTTACCTGTGTGAGGTTAGAACCACTGCTCGCCCGTCTCTCAGCACACCAACAATAGAGTCCCACAGGAGGCGCCGGGACTGAGGGTCCATCCCAGTAGTCGGTTCATCCTATAAGAGGAATGTTAGGGCAATTGGATTCAGAGAATCAGACAAAAAAGAGAAAATCTATTTAGAATGAAGTCATTGTTTGGACCATAGCACATAATTGCTTCTCCACTGTAATCTGTGCCTTGAGAAAGCACGTACACCTTGAGAAGTGTATGAGCGAATGGGTACCAATGGATTTCTTGGCACAAAGCAGTAAGAAAAGAACTAACAAGAACCTGCAGGTAAGAATACAATGCTGTCTGTGTAGGGCACAGCTACAGGGAAGGAAATGCCTTTTCTGAGCAGCAATGCTTGTAAGAGGAGAATGAGTTCTCACCAAGTAATCTTCTTACTTACATATAGGATGTTACTCAATCCAAGAAACTAAAGTAGTTACCCTGACTTACACCAGCTAAGGATCTGGTCCTGCATAAATCAGTTAGTGCCAAAAAATGTAAAGAAAATCTTGGATAGAAAAATTTTCATTGAACATTTTGTCTTAAGAAATTATGAGAAAACATTTTATCTGACTGTTTCCTATTCAGGCAGAATACACGTAAAGCCATATTAAATGGCACTGGGAACCATGCTAGCAAAATGTTATTAAAGTATTTCTTTTTAGCCTACAGATTAAGGTGGTACAGTATAATCTAAGGAATTTTTGTAGTAATTGCATGTATAATTTCCCTTTAGAGATGCAGCTATCTGATAACTTCTTTTGATAAGAACTACATTTCAGCATTGCATAGTTTCATATAAGTTTGTATAATTTATTCCAAAGATATTAAAGGGTAGCTATCTTCCTCTGTTCTGCTAGAGACAGCAGCAAGGTATTTGCCAGAAGATCATCTTTTACATGAGTAGCTACACTCTGACAACAAGTGGCCAACTGAAAACAAACAAGGATTTAAATTCTGATTTATCTGGATTATAGATTTTATCTCAAAACATTCTTTGTTGAAGATCTTTCTTTCAAAATCACTTGGGATTCATTGGAAACATAGTTCTGCGTGCCAGTCTATGCCTGAAATTAAAGAACTGAAAATCAAAATACATGTAAGTTGAGGGCAAAACCAAGCTTGCAAGGACTGTCATAAACCTCTTTGTACCTCCCTGCACTGTCACAGAGCTGTGACATGACTCACCAGCAGGACGAGCGGTGGGCAGCCGATCAGCGCAATGGCAGTGGAGAGCTTGCGCTTGTTGCCCCCGCTGTAGGTGCCAGCCAGGTGGTCTGCATACAAGGGAAGGCCCAGCTTCTGGATGCCCCACTCAGCCACCTGTGAGAAAGACCATGTTTTTCACACAGCAGCTAATGCACGACAGACAGGATTGCTGATACACTGCTCTTCTGGCAGGAACGTGACAGTCCCCTGGGTTTTAGCATATTCATTTTGGAACTGGACCAGGGAAGTGCAAAAAATTGATGGTGATGATAGGAGTTCCAACTACTTGAGAGAAAGCCATAAAGCAATCTCAGTTGCAAAGTTCCTATCTGCATGAATTTAAATTATTTTCTTCTGGAATCTTCATGTTTTCTTTCTTATACGTAAACAACTTTAAAGACAAAAACAAAACAGCAACTAGTGCAGTTCTGAGCCATAGTAAATTTATCTTCAGCCTTCCACTTTTGTTGCCACAGTTTTGCAAGTACTATTAATGCCTGAGAACCTGCATTTGTTCGTGCAGTCTCGTACTTAACTGTCCAAATGACAGGAACCACTCCCAGGACTTCAACACACAGGATGGCAAGTCCACTTTGGAAATTCTGGCCTCTTATGAATGCAGTTAATCATCACAAATAATCCCTATAACTCTGAAAAGCAAGATTACTTTACCCTCTTGATTTCATCTGCTGGAACCCCCCGCAGACGTGCATATAAGTAGAGGTGTTCTCGTCCTGTGAGCAGGTCATCAATGGCATCAAACTGAGGGCAGTATCCCATGTTTTGATGGACATTAGAAATGTGGGTCAATATACTGGAGAAACATAGGAAAGAATCTTAGTTCTGTAACACTAGCTTTAAAACAAAGAAGAACAGCTTGAATCAAAACTTTATTTTTTGGGACAACAACTCTTACAAGAGGAGAGTGAATTCTTCCTTATAAAATGTTCTACTGAAACATTTGTCTGTATATAAGAGCAAGCAGTATATTCTTAAGTCAGCTCTGTGCTGGTTACGAGTGTAAGCCCATTTCCCCTCACCCATTTTCCTGTGTAAGTATAGGATAACTTAACAAGAAGTTCTTTAAACAGCCACTCAGATCTCATTTTTTGAGAATGGTGTTTATTTCTAGAAGAAAAAAAGTAGTTGATTTCAACTCAGAGTGGTCACTACTCAGATCAAAGTACCCTGCTGCACTGGTTATCTTATGTTTGTGAGCTCTTTCACTAGATCTGACTGCCTTGTCCTGCTGTTGGCATTACTACAACTTAGCCACAGATTTTACAACAGAGTGTTAAAGGTATTAAATGTGTGTTAGCTGTGATCTCAGTGCCTTAGAGCTGCTGGGTCATTGAGAGTATGATCTGGACAATTCTACCCCAGCAAATGCATTATCACAGGGGTTTTTTTAAGGTACTTACCTATTGCCAGCCACTATAGCATCTCCAGATGTCACATCAGTATCTCCAGTCAGCATTTTGAATGTTGTTGTTTTGCCAGCCCCATTCACTCCCAAAAGGCCAAAGCACTACATTGCAAAATTTATAACATTCTTTAGTATTTCCAACTTGCAAATCAGTAGTGGCATAAAATCTGAACTGATCTATGGAATGTAATCTAGTGTTATTGAACAACCTACCTCTCCAGGACGGATGCCAACACAGAGTCTGTCCACAGCAGGCTTGTGCTGACCTGCATAAATCTATGTTGATGGGGGAAAAAAATAATTTCTATTTCAAGACATCTACAGCAAAGAAAATCTTCTGATTTTTTTTTAGTTTAATGCTATTGAGATGAATTAATTTAGAACTATGGAATAAATAAAAAAATTAATAAGAGTACACATTCTGCAAGGTCAGACATTTATTTACAGTAAATAAACCTATGATGATCCCTAAAAATACCAGTTTTTCTGCTTACAACCATTTATTTTGTATATTTAGCACTAGGAGACAGACTGAATGCTTTGCTGGGACAAAGTATAACAGAATCACAGAATATGCTGAGTTGGAAGGGACCCACAAGGATCATGGAGTCCAACTCTTAAGTGAATGGCCCGTACAGGGATCAAACCCACACTGCTGGCATCATCTGCACCAAGGCTCTAACCAACTGAGTCAGGGGATCTCTGGCAAGCAAACCAAAATGGAACAAGATAGCAAGATAGGCTGAAGAGTGATACCCAGTTATCTATTCATGAGATCCCAGCAATGTGTGCAATCTTTACATTCGTGTAGCTCCAGCTTGCATTCATTCTTATAGCATAACTCAGATGCCTTCAATGTCTGGAAAGAAGACAGTTTAGGAATAACTGTAGTTCTCAATATGAAAGCAACTAAATAGTTTACTTGAGATTGAAACTCACCTATGGAAAAAAAAAGGAATGCAGAAGAAAAGACTGGTAGTAGAAATGGACACTCAGTAGATAAGTCATGTCAGATGATTAGAGGTAAAAACCCAATTTAAGCAGGGAGAATTGCATTGTCCTTGTAGGACTTCCCTATTTATTTCTAATCAAAGGAAATAACCTTGACTTCTAAAATGTTTATTATTTTCTAAGGCATGAGGTTGATTTTGAAAACAATACAATCTGGATCCACAGCTGAAATACATTTTGAAAGAATGAATTTACACTAGATTTATTTGTTTCATTCTTCTCAAAATATTACCTTGGTTAATTCTTGTAATTCTAAGATATATGTTTTGTTTTCTCCATTCATAATTCTTTTCCTTTCTTCTGCAACATCCTCATCTTCACAAATAATAGGTGACATGGCAGTCTCAGCAAACCTGGAAAAACCCAAGATACTGAGTTGCTCTGGGTGCAGAATAACAGTGTGAAACAATGGCTAATTAATTGCCAAAAATGTGACTGGTGGAAGTAGTGGGATTGAAACTTCATAACAGGACATTGGTTGGAATATTCCCACTGCTGGGAGAATCCCTGAGCTTTGAAAGTTAATCTCTAAATATTAAAAAGGGAGGAACTGACTCTCTCAAAAGAACATGCCTTGTCAGTCACTGATACGACATAACCTGCCCCTTAGCCACAGCTCTCCCTATTTGGCTGCTCTCAGTAGCTAGTGATAGTCCCATAGAAGAAGAAGTTTTCAGTAGATCTCTCTGTAAGACAGTATTTTTATAATTGTACCAATTGGTACTCTCATTGGCAATCTTGAAGAGGAGTGAATGACCCACTCACACCTGTTTTCATCAAGGAAGATGCACTCTGGTAAAGCAGACAGTACTTAGGACACTACAAACTTTCCAAGTAATTTTAAAATCTCTCTACTGCAGTGTCTTAAATGAAAAAAAAAAACTACATTACAGTCTTACTTCAAAAAAACCCAACTTTTAAAATAAAATATTCTTAAATCCTGTCAAGATAATACACATTTGTAAAAGCTTTCTTGACTCAGGGTGTCAATAAATTGAGATCAGGTAAGTAAATAGAAATGTAAAAAGCTGACAAATTCAGTGAAAAAATTAAAAACAACAAAAAAAAAGAGGGACATAGAGACATAAAAAAGACACTCATCCTGTTAACAAAGGAACATTAATAGAAGCTTTAAACAAACCATCTTGTGGAGAACAAACGGTGCTGCATAAGGAGATTCAGAATGAAGTACACAACCCCTTGAACAGCCATGGCAACCAGGTTCTTTCCAACAAAGTCCCACTCAAAGGGATTGGAAACATGCTCCTCACCTTTGGAGAAAGAGTACCAGAAAGGAAGGTGAAATACTGCTGGAAAAAACCACTGCTCTTCAGAACAAAAGGTCTAATCCTAATGGTTTACTTTACTTTATTTGTTCATGATCAGCCAACAGTTTTCATTTTTTAGTGTCTTACAAAGATTCTTAACAAAATGCACTCCAAGCTCAGCTGCTGCATGAGAGTAAAAATAAATACAAGCTATCTGAATATGCACTAATTTAGGTATCATAACATGAAAATTGCATGGATTATGTGAAAAGACACCTATTTTCTGAATAAAAACAGATGAGTCCTGCTGCATGACTATTCTTTTAATAAGTTGTCTGCTATTCCTTTAGTAAGTTGTCTGCTATCAAAGGCAACCACATCCTAAGAGGATGTATTTGAAGAACAGCAGTCGCTTTAAACATTAACCAAAGTATTCAAATGAAATGACATAATATATTTTCCTGTAATGATCTAAGGAATTCTGAACAAAAGATAAAAAGACACCAGAGTCTGGCACTGCACAAATGGGTTCATTCCAATGCAGACTACTGGTTGGGCCATAGAGCTCTGGCAGCAATATCAGAAGCTGTGATTCCTTCAGAGAGGGTGAACTTTCATACTCCTCATCCATGGAGGAGAGGTGAGAGGTGAGAATTGCAGAAACATTACTACTTTTCTAACACTTCCAAACATCTCATCCAAGGTCAGGACACATGACATGGACATCAGTTGTTGCTTACTGGCTTTACTTACCAAACCTTGCATATACTTCGGTCACAGCTTGGTTCATGGCCAAGTCGATGAGTCCACGGCCCAGGCAAAAATGTGGGAAGACAAGCAGCACATTTTTCAGTGTTTTGTTAAACTTCAGCAAAGACTATAAGAAAAAGAAACAACATAATAAGCTGTTGAAACCAGATCTGTTTAAGAAAACATAGCAACATAAGTGGAAAGTTTCTTGCCACATCAGAGAAACTGAATGTTCTGTGTTCTTACAACAGAGAACACAGAGTATTTATCAAGTTACACACAAAGCAACATAAAACGCAGCACAGCAGAATGCTGGCATACACTGCACCAGAGAAGGTGCTTTTCAAAAACTGTCAATGAGGAGAAAAAATAGTCTTTGTGATGAAGTATTTTTCTATGTAGCAGAGAGAATGTAATTCTGGTGGTAACATGCTGTGGGGGTGTGTTTTGGATTTGTGCTGAAAACAGTGTTGATAACACAAGGATGTTTTAGTTGTTGCTGAGCTGTGCTTGCACAGAGTCAAGGCCCTTTCTGTTCCTCACCCCACCTGGGAGGTGACACAACTGGGACAGCTGGCCCCAACTGACCCAAAGGATATCCCAGACCATATGATGACATGCTCAGCACATAAAGCTGGGAGGAAAAGAAGAAAGAGGGGAACATTTGAAGTTACAGTATTTGTCTTTCCAAGTAACCTCTACATGTGATGGAGCCCTGCATTCCTGGAGATGGCTGAACATCTGCCTGCTGATGGGACATGGTAAATTAATTCCTTTTTTTGATTTGCTTGTGCATGCAGTTTCTGGTTTACCTATTAAACTGTCTTTATCTAAACCCATGAGTTTTCTCACTTTTAGTCTTCTGATTCTTTACCTCATTCCAGGGGGTGGGGGTGGGGTGCAGTAAGTGAGTAAGTGGCTGTGTGGTTCTTGGTTGATGGCTGGGATAAAACCATGACAATGGTCAGGGCTGCCACAATACTGAAAAGTACCAGTGTCTGGGCATAACTACACAGTAGACTTCGGTGCAAGTAGTGCAGGTGCCAGCAGCAATCTAGCTGCATCAGCACTGAATCCAGAGAAGGGCCATCTTCCCTCTGGAGATACACCTACAACAGAGACAAGTTTTCAAAGGTAACAATGCTGCCATGATGTCCCACAGACTAAATGGCACTAGACTGAACTCTGTGCTATCAAGAAGCATGTCTGTGAATGCAGGAACAGCAGGGATAATATTGTCAAGTCGGCCCTTGAAACCATGAATTTAACCAAGATCTGTTTCTTCTTTATAGCTTGGTCAGCACAAAATGTTTGGAAATGCACTATCAGTAATGATAGCTAATTGGACTGCTGTCAGATGTAGAATGGGTGTCAAATGTACTGGGCAGAGCTTCAGCAACTGTAGAGGTGATAGCAATAGTGCATACAAGCCAACAGCACTTCATAAAATTATCTCTTAGCCTCTCTAAGAACTAATTTTGGCACTCACCGTATTCTGTCACGTTTCTGGTGGTGTTAAATTCATCTTTTTGGCAATTCTCAAAATGCTACTATAAGTAGAACGTCTCCTCTAACACAATAAAACCAGCACTAGTAAGTGCCTACCATTTACATCTTCCCACACAACACAGGCTGCAGAAGCAAGCATGAAGTGCCGTGTCTCCACCTCCCCAGCTGGGAAAGTGTACAGAAGTTTGCTCTTAGGTATGAAAAACACTCAATGTCATTCCTTGTGTGCACAGCCCAATTGCTCTGAGTCACGTCTCTGGTTATCTGCTCACCTGTACCGCAGTTACTCAGCAAGTTTCTCACTCATTTATTGCCAGAAAAAAATGGTAATGTAGAGAAAGACAGTTATTGTTAGAGATGGTTATGCTTGAATGCTTTTTGCACAGCTCTCTAAAGCCAGGGGTCAATAAAAACATGACTTACCGGGTTATTTTCAAATAACTCCAGGATGAATGTAATGGCACTGCTATTGATCCCCACAAAGAGATTAATGCAAGACAATGCAACATAAGCAGTGCTAGGGACACTGAAGAAAGACGAAGCAGGGTACATCATGGGAATTACTGCCCATCTGCATCCAAAAGATAGGAAAAATATGGTAACTTCAGTATTCTTATGTCAGTTGGCCTAAAGAAAACACAGAGTTGAGCTTTCCTCTTATCCTAAGTGTATGTAATGATGTAACCAACCAGAGATCCACTGCAGTATTCTCTCCCTGGTTACTACATAAGAATCTTTTGCTGCTCAGTCTTTTTTTGCTATTAAAATGCAGGGCAGTAGACACTGATAAAATTGAGAATGCTAGTGAGGTTATCACTCCATCTCACTGGATTGCACACCAGGAGGGACAAACAAAGAAACGTTATGCAGTGTTCTGCTTAGCAAGATATTCCTCACCCCTTGGAACTGCCCAAAGAAATTACAAACTATAAGTTTTTATATTATTTTCTAAGCCCTCTACTAATGGCTTGTTTTATTCCTGATTTGGATCTTCCTGTGCCATGATTTCTGGGAAATAGCAAATGCACATGCAGCAGCACAAGAGGGGTATTCCTCTGGAATAAACTTAAAATGCTGAGCAACAACTAGTCTGACCAGGGAAAACTCAGTGACATCAACCTGAATTGTTTAACAGGACAAGACAAATGCAGTCAGAAAGAATCATTCCAAGTTTCCTATTGTGACTGCAGCTGGACACAAGGGCTAACATACAATTTTACAAATTGACTTTTCTTTCCATTTTTTGAGTAGCAAATTATGAAATTATTGAAGTGACTGCCAAAAGTGACTGCCACTTTTTTCTGAAAATTTCATCTTGGCTGATGCTTTAAAATATGCAAAGACATTTAAGATGTCCATCCACGCAGCCATGAATTATCATATTTTAAAAAAAATATGCACTGCCACAGACAACTTATTAAAGATACAACTACTCTACTTTAAAAAGATATGATGAAAAATTAAAAAAATGTAACATTCTGATAGCAGTTTTACCAAGATTAAATGCTGATAATGCTTTGCATTTTCTGAGGATTTTCATTCAAAGAACACAATAACTTCAGAAAATTAAAGCTGGTTTGCACAGAAAAGAACTGTTCCCTCTTAGGCTCCATCTGTGATATACATAGGAGGATATGAAAAGATAATTTCTCTCTTTAAGTCCAGAAATAGATCTTATCAATTGCTTTGCCTAGACTACATCTGCTGAAGGGCTATCAGGAGTATAATTTTATAGATAAAAATATATGATCACTAATTAAATGAGAGAAAGTAAATTTCAGTCAGTCTTATAAAATGCTGTTTTGTCAATGAAAATGCTCACTTGAAGTCAAAAAAGTGTTGAAGACTCGGTACTCTTTGCCCTTGGGTTAAATGCTGAAAGATATTTTAGTAGTGGCTGTGAATGTGGCAAATGAACAACGACTAAATTCCTACACAATGTACAAGGAAGAAAGCAGCAAACTGAACAAATATATTTTCCTGTAAGGATCACATTTAATGCTTAAAAATGTAAGGCAGTGACATAAGAATCTCCTTTGCAGCGTGTGTCCAGGCAGAGTGTGCAAATATCCCGCAGCAGAGGCAGAATCCAGTTTTAACCTGTATTGTATCCACTCAGTTCTATTCCTTAAAGCTGGATTTCACTAAGTACCAAGCTCAGTAACATGAAATCATTTCCATGTGAAATACAGGGCTGAACTACAGCAATAACCTTGAGCACTCACCCATACAGAAGCAGCAAGGCAACAAACACAGGGAGGTTAGTCGGAGAAGCATAGGCTTTCTTGTCAAATCCAGTGAATATGGCCACAACCATTCCAGCACTCAGTGCGTAATTCACCTGCCACAGCACAGGGTGAAGATCAGTGTGTAAGACCTGAGAAGGTCTGCAAACATATCCAGATCCTACACATCATTCCAAAAAGATTTTATATGGAGGAACACCAGAATTGGAGTTAGATTAGTCACGCTGAAGCTTTTGGATCAAAGGGTCCCTGGCAACACTCAACATTTTTGAGATGTCTTGTATCAGACTGTTCATTTAAAAATACAATGTACTTTATTATTTCTTAGATTATGGTGTGTGAGTCAATTATTTTATGGTCCTGCCACCAAGCTTCCCACAAAAAGGGGCCACGGGTATGCAAGGGAAGTGGTGTTTCTGGTGATGCAAAGGAAAAAGCTAGTTACTTGAGCCACATTCCCGGGAGGAGGCTAAATGCTTGGCTGCTGCTCAATTTCTCTGTTCAGTATTAGTAGCACTACTGAACTGAAATGCACACAACTCCCCATGCAGAATGGAAGGTGGTGTTCCACAGAACTGCTAACACCACTTAATACCTTTGCATCCTGCTGTCAAGGGCAACAGCCAAGCAGAATTCCTGTCAAGGAAGTTGCTGGGAGAATGCTGTGAACAGCAGGGAACAAGAACTCAGAGACCTGCTTTTTTCCCCTCATTTACTAAAATAATGCTTTGATTTATCTTCTCCTGAGAGAGCACTTTCCAAAGCCTGAAGAGTTTTGGGCTTTTTGAGTATTTAAAGTGGTTTTTTTTTTTCTTTCTTCCCCCCCCCCCCAATTCTACTTTCTGTTTTTCTTATTGCATAAGCCCTTGGCTGCTTTCTTTATTGAGTAGGCATGGTTAGAACATTAGCCCTTGTGCCTCAGCCAGGGGAACAACTGTCTGCTTTGCAACCAAGTGGCCGGAGGAGTGACAGGAGGGAAGCTGAGCCCTGTCTAAACAAGCCTGGACCTGTGGTACAAATCTTTTCAGAACACTACAGTGACTGTAATACAGAGGCCTAAACAAAGATATCTATGTCATTTTAGACACCCTAGAGTGTTTTGTCAGGCCTACAGCTACTGTTCCAGCAGCCAGTGAATCTTCCCCACTTAGATTTCTTGAACATCTTAAAACATGTTTTGGGTCTTCAAGAGGACAGGAGTGACTAGCACCAAGCAATGAGGCTTTTTCCTGCTATGGTAAATTGTACTTAAATTATATATTTAGTTGTAAGGACTGGAAGTTCTAAGATGACAAAAATTTCAGCTTCGTTAGTTGAATAACGAGTTGTGCATCTTATTAATTTCTGCATCTGTAATTAGTTCAGAGTCAGATCCTTAGCATGCTGTCCGAGAAACACTTAAAGAAATTTATACTTTGCAGTGCCTAGAATCACCTTCACTTCATTCACTGATTAGTTCCCAGTTCGTGCACACCCAGGATAATCACAGGCTGTGAAATCAGACCAGCAGTTACTTACGATGTCCCACGTGAAGTTAGTCAGCCAATAGATAACAGGGCTCACACCGCTCACAAACTGGAGATGCTTGGCTTTTGTTACACGTTCTTGAATCAGGTATAAAACAAAACTGGCTGGTATAAAGGACATGGCAAAAATCACACAGATGGCAACAACAGCATCCACTGAAGTGGTCAGTCTAAAACAGAGCACAAGAAGGGACTCTGAGCAAGGAATGGATGCAACACAACACTGCAGGAGCATTTGGGGAATCTGGAGGGTGTTTTAAGATCTAGAAGTAGCAATGCTACTTCTTAAAAGAAGAAGACTTCTATAACTTCAAAGTGTGCTGGTGTATTTTCCCAAGCTGTTTTGGGAGACTGTAGCTGAGAAATATGGCACCATTCTCTGATTTTTCACTTGCCTTCATTCTGTGAAACTCCCTATATATATATCAGTTTGACAGCCTTTCCCATATGAGACATCTCAAACTAGACATAAAGGCACAATAGCTGAAGTGCTCTGGTAGCTGGGAAAAGAGAAAGGTAAGTTGAAGACACTGAGATGAAGCACAGATTTTGCCTCTGTGCTATAATGCACAGTTTTCAGTTTTACTGAATTTTGAACTTTATAGGTGATGGGGAAAGTCCTGTCTTTTCAGGGATGTATTTCTCAAGAAACGATGACTTTTAGATTCTGGAATACACCAGCCCTACTGCATGCCATCAAAAATCTACCTGTGTGATGTCTTTGGTACCAAGACAGAGGTTGTTGACTACTGCCTTCCAGTAGTCAGTTAAAAACATTTTCTCATTCCATTTTTCATTAAGTATTTTATTTCACATGTATAGGATTTGGAGCATGAACAAAGATTTCAGAATCTTCATGCTTGGGAATCAACAGAAGCATGCAATCATGTATAACCACTGATCATAGTTCCTATGTGCAGTGGGAATGAACTCTTACAGGAATATAGTGAGACAGGAACACATGCTTGTTTAGAATAAAACTTCAGGGAAAGGTCTCCACAGTGTGTCCTTGGACTATTTCTCCTCAGAGCGTGAGTATGCTGGAGTTTGCAAGCTGCCAGGAGATGGAGGGGTAAAAGCCAGAAGCAGAGCACAGGCAGACTTACACAGTGACTTCAGAGAGTTGCTCCTTGGTGAGGTTCAGAGGATGGTTTATGGCAGTGATCCCATGTTCCTCAGGGGCTTGGCCAGTCCGCAGGTTAGCTCTAAGGATGGCATTATTGGCTACGTTGAGGAAACTAACCATAGCATGCCAGCCTTTATTGTTGAACCACACCTAGAGGAGTCAGAAAGCACAGATTCATTTAAGAAGCCTTCACTAATAACCCTGAGCTGCAGGAGAAAACTTGGCTGCCTTTTATCTACTTTGGTGGGCACTGTCAGAAGGGGTGAACCCAGCACCAGGAATTCATAGTTCCTAGGCACAGTCCTGCAGGAGGAGCTCACATACTATGCTTTTAAAAGCATTGGACAACTGCTGTCAAGGGATTTTATAGAAACATATTTTAAACCGTAGTGTACTACTTTGAGTATTTAGGATAGCAAGAAGTACTGAGAACATAGTTTTAAAAAATCTCACATTTGAAATACTATAAATAAGAATTACTTATAATATAGGATACAGCGTTAATGCCAAGTTATTTTGGAAGTATAGCATTTCAGATCTTCTTGCATCTGGGAATGCCACCAGCAATATTCTCACAGTTTGAAGTCTATGTCAAGACTGTGAGTTAGCACACTATTTCCAGCAAATACCTTAATATTATCTTCCGTTTCCATGTATTTAAGGAAATTAGGGAATTCTTTAGCGGCAGCCAGTGAAGTTTGTCCCTAAAATAAAAAAGGCTAAAGATCAGTATTCTGGGTGAAATCTGCTGCTTCAGGTTTTCAGCTTTGTAACAATGCTTTAGTAAGGGGCCAAAAACCAACCAACCAACCAAGCAAACAAACAAAAAATCTTGCTTACTCCTGTTACATTCATCATTTGGCCAAGATCACTTAAAAAATCAACAACTTGGTCTGCAGAGAAGGGAGGCATTGGAAGTTTTCCTCCTATAGAAATTCCTCCATATCTAGCAAAGAGAAAAGTATCATCAATAACTTGTACCATAGACCCAGAACTGCATATTGATGGAAACACTAAAAATCCACTTAATACAAGTTTAATTTCTATAAATCATGTATTTCACATATAGTGATTCTTACTCTTTCTCTAACAAATAATAGAAGTTCTATCAGTTTCTGAGAGGTTCATGCCAGCATCGTAAGAAAATTATTTAGATAGATGAACTGTAGGAAACAGTGATTTCTACAGTACAAAATCTTTAAATCAAGATAATTGACATATAATGGTTTAGACAGCATGCAGGATTGAGGAGTAGGTATTCACCAATGCCAGTACTCCATAAAGATAAATATTATTGCATGAGATGAACTGAAGTCTAATCCCATATAAAGTAATGTTTGCATATGAATAAGTAGATATTCCATGAAGGAATCCAGTCATCCAGCTGCTGTCTTTGAAGTGAACTCCTACTGCTGATGAAAAATTAAATAAGTATATGCTTTAGGCTAACCAGTCATTTTTTTAAGCTTAGTATCTGCAGTGTAGACATCAAACTGGGGTTAGCTGATGCCTCTCCCTAAGTGTACAGCACTAGGGGAATCTGGTTTATAACTACTGCACGTGTACAGAGCAGAGACCAGTAATTGTGGTTGTTACTTCTGTATTTGATAGGCTGATGCCTAGTTTTCATCTTTTCAGGTCCTTTTTTTAGAGGGTTTATATTTTTTTCTGCAGCACTTTGAAAGAGCTATGTCAGAGCACTAGCACAACATTCTTCACTATTGTACTAGAACTTTCCACCACTCAGTTCCCATTAGTTTGACTCCTGTAGATAATAAAACTGTGATAGTTCCATTGTGCCCTTCTGGCCTTCATCCTAGTTGGGGGAGTTCAAACCAATATAATCCTTTGTCTTTATAAGACCCTTCCTGATCCCCAACCTATTTCCCACTGAAGCCATCTCTTTGTTCTACACTATCTGCCACAATTCCCCTCGGCCATTTCCAGAAACATTGTGAGGCTGCCTGGTTAAACATTGTTCCTTTATTTACCACCTTAATCTGTGAATTGGTTTCTTACCTTTGCTCATTGACCCAGTATTTACTCTTCAAGCTGAAACAGACAAAGAGAATCCTGTCTCTCAATGCACAAAACCAAAGTCAATGATACTGTCAGGCTTAAATGAAAATTAAAGTTGAATACCTATACTTTGCAGACCGTCAGTGTGCTTCTTATTAATTTGAGTTGTCAGGTTGACAAGACTTTTGGCATTCCCTGCAGTGTTTTTGGGGTTTTGTTTTGTTTTCTGACGTGATCATTTCCAGTCAGACGGAGACAAGAAAGATTCCTAAAGCAACACACACTGGGCTATCCTAATCCATAATTAATTGATTTTAAAAGACGTACCTAAAGCAATTATGACACATGCTAAGAGGAATGAGTCAAAGGCAGGCAGCACACAGCTAACATAATGGCAATTTCATTAACTCTGCCGGGAATTGAAAAAGTAGCAAGGCCAGAATCAGAAATAATAGGTCATGGACCCCGCACAGCTAATTGCCAGAACAATACTCAGGCAAGCGGAGGAGCTATCAGTAGGATAGATGTACCCATGTAACATTGTCCTTGGCTGCTCTTTAGCACTTCTGGGAACAAGTGAGAATTAACTGAGGCAGATGGTCATGCTGGTGTGCCTATAGTTCTTCAGGGAGACAAACCAGTATCTCTGCAAGGCAGCTGACCATGCTGGGCAAAGGCACCGTTTTTCTCACCATTAACACAGTCACCATCAACACGGCTTTCTGTCAGCATTGAAACAAGTCTGCCTGTAAAGGAGTACCCAATTACACAAAGGGGTATAACTGAAAATATTTAACTCCCCTAAAATCAGCCTCTTCCAGTCTTACATCAGAAATATGGACGTGGTGCTCAAGTCTACAGAACAATGTGGCAAATCAGCTGTTATGTTTATCATTAAATAAAAGTTTCGTGGCCAGGTACAAAATACTGAATGTGAAAAATAAAGAGAGATTCACCCCTACCTTCCTTTTATCAAAGTGGGATATGTTTTCACCAGAAAATCTGAAATATTTCTGTGGGTCAGATCTTGAAGAATTTCTGTGCTGCGTTGCACTCTCTGGCAAGAAAGGAAAACCTAATCAATGACAGTAAACTGTACAGTCTCTAAAGTTATTAACTAAGAGTTTGTCAGGAAAACAACAAAAGTAGCTTTGATTCAGATAAAATGCTGAGGGTTTGCAGTATCACTGAAAGAGAATAGGTCATTCACTTTCTAGCCCATTCACTTTCCTGCTTTACTAGGACTTCAGAGGAAATCAAGTTTGTGATGCACGACATAAAACAGTTGCACTTCACTCTGAAACTGTTATTTGCAACACAGGTCAGGGTTGCTCAAGGCTTTTTCTTCAGTTTTTCAAACGAACTGAGGCTCCAGTTTAAAAAAAAAAGGTAGTTTTGTACACTTTAGCAGCTTTAGGTAAAAAGTAATAGGAAAACTTCACCTTCACTAGCATATTAGATACTCTGGATGAAAATTACATTTCTGTTCGTTTTTAAATGAAAATTATGCCACATGACAAATTTGTTGAGTTTTTTGCAAATACAGGATCATTGTGAAATGCAAGATCTCACACTTGCTGAGTTTATCCAGGGTAGAATATACTTTGAAAGGTTCCTGGGCAGTTTCAGAGGGCAAAGCTCACAGCCTGAAATGATCTGATCATGTCCTAAGAAGAAGTCTAACGAACTTTCCAGAAGTTCCTACAGTTGTCCACAGAGAGGCAGTGCCGGCTGACACAGAAGACACGTTACAGATGTTTAGCTGATTCTAGACAGGAAGACCGGTGGCATCCTCACAGTGCTTTCATTAAATGAGTTGTCTATGCTTAGAGGTAATTCACAATTATTTACATACTGTGCCTTCCCTGCAGACTCAAATGTGAACTGTTTCTTTCTGACAAGTTATACAAAACTATAATATTCTGCAAAATTATCAGGATAATGTTATAATAAGCACAATTCATCTAGAGGACTAGAATCTCCACAAACAAATAAACCCCCTACATCTTACTTGGAATTGAAGTTTTAGACTAGAGTTCTTTAAAATACACTAGCATGCAATTAGCAAAATTCAACTCTGTCTCTTGGATAGGGATTACTTGGAAATCAGAAATAACTTGGGATGCTGTAAGTCAGAATACAACTGCTTAATTAAATTTTTTTTCTTCATAAACAGGAATTCTACAGATATTTAAAACAACTTGTTTTATGAACAGTGATAGAGAGATCAAAGCAAGCTGAATCAGTATTTTTACAAGATCATGTCATGAAAAGTGGTGTAATCACCATCCCTGGAGTGTTTAAATAATGTCTAGATGTGGCAGTTGGGGATACAGTTCAGTGGTGAAGATGCACTGCTGGGTTAGTTGGTCGGACTTGATGACCTTAGAGGTGTTTTCTAAACTTAATGATTCTATGATTCTATTTAAATTAGAAATATTTTAGTCATTTGGCTAATGTGTGCCGCCTGGCAAATGGCAATATTAAAGCCAAACAGTGTGCATGGTGAGACATTAAATTAGTGAGATATTACTCTGAGAGTGGCTGCATTTCTGTTTAGTTTCTTAGAAAAGCATTTATAAAATGTAAACACTAACGGGCTGTAATTTTCCTTTGCTCTCGAAAAGATCAAGCACATTTTATAAAGGGCACTACTAAGATCATTCATTGATAGGAGCAGGTGGGAATGTAGTTTTATTCTCCTGCATACAGCATCAGTGGTTATTAAATTACTCATCTCCACACACATGCATACAAATATTCATTTTGCCAGCTTAGAACATTTTTTCTACAAATGGAACTGAAAGACACAGAAAAAAAATAATAATTTGGGGTTGACTGAATATTATTTTTTCCATTTTAATAAGATGACCCCACTCCACATTTTTGAAAATTGTGAAATTTTTCTTTCTTTTCTTTCCTCTTTCTCCCTCCTTCCCTTCTTTAAAGAAAGGGAACCTAAATAGAATTTTCACTGAGGAAATAGAAAGTAAGACTTTTTTTTTTTTTTAAATTATGCAACAAATTGTTAAAATTTTTGTGATTTTCTTCTACATGAGAAGTTTGCAATTTGGATGAAAACAGTAATCGAATTTCATTTCAATTTGCAAGCTTTTCCAATACCTCTGAAACTGAATTCCAAATCCCAGCAATTCTTACTCCCTTAAAAAAAATGTACTCAATTCCTTCCATGTATATTAGCATGGTAAGGTACTTACACAGTAACCTCTTTTCCAGCACTTGCCATGAAATTTTTCTACAAAGTTTTATAGCATAAGGACTCAACCTGTGGTGGTGGGAGGCCTCCTGCGCCTGCAGGACATTCTGGCAGCATGGTGAGTTTCTTGTGAGTGCTGCACTTGCAGGAAGGTGATGGATTCTCAGGGCTCCACTCTTGGCTCAGGAGGAGGTTGCTTAGGTTGGGATGAACAGCAGGTGTGTCCCAGGCAGTTGGTGTGTGATTGCACGGGTAGTTCCTGTGGAGAGGAACAGAGCTTTAAGCTGTGCAGAGATAACAGTTCATGAGAACTCACATATCCACAAAATCACAATGCTCTCAGAAGCCATTCCCCTCTCAGCACTTATCCTGTGAGTAACAAGTAAGAACAGCATTTTAGAGTACTTGGTAAATATGAATAAATATAATCCCCTCCCACATCTCTGCCAAGTTTACTGTCTTCAGCTTGCAGACAGGACACTGAAGGAACAAGGGGATCACGTTTGACCCATTAGTACACAAGAAATCCACAGTAGACACATATCTTTGCAAAGAAACTATCCTTTTCCCTGCTCATGTAGCATCTTTTCTCTTTTAAAGTTTCCTCTTTGTTCCTGCTGTACCAGGTAGAGGAGAGAAAAGGAAAAGAGAAGACTGCCAGAAAAACCAAGCTGCTGGATATAATGACTAGGAAAGAGGCAAGAGACATGGAAAAAATGTCAAAGCATAGCAAGCCAGTGACAAATGGCTCCAAGGCAGGACTCACAGGCAGGTACAACAACAAAAGCTGAAGTTAGAGCTCTACTAATGTTGCTTTCGCTTCAGAGTGAGAGTAGTTTTAAATCATAGACATCGTCCTATTGATTCTCCCCAGTCTGAGCGATTGCTGAAGGTATTGCTTCCATACACACCAGTGGGAACAGCAGGAACCTGAAGGGACTCACACATGGAAAGTACCACAGAAGCCGTGAAGATTTGGGCCCTCTGACCTACTGACATAAATTTCAAGGTTGCTTAACTCTCAGTACAAGGCTACATGAGCTGGTTTCCAGTTAGACACACTGAGCCCTGCAAACCACTCTTAATCAAGTGGCCGTGTTGTCTTGCTGTTTGTTTGTTACTTTTGACCTGATACTAGATATTATTGCCAACAACACATCCGAAGCATTGGCTTAGTGAAAAGTCAAGCCAATTCATTCTTCTTTCACTACTCAAGTTGTACTAGTAATACTCTGCTAGGCTCTTGTTCAAGAGAAATTTAGCTAGCAACTTACGGAAGAGGCTGATTCCTCATGCAGCGATTTCCAAATCCTGGTTTATTCAAGAAAGCATGAGTAAGGGAGACCATCTGCTCATTGCCGGGACGTTCATTGCTAAGGGGATAAAATAGGACTTCATAAAATATTTTTTCAAGCTGTTGCACTGGAATACACATAGGAACTAGAGAAGAACAGTCATATGGCAGAACCAACTGCCCCTCTCCAAATGCTGATAATTCCATTGTTTTATTTTTTTTATATAAAACCCCAGAACCTTCCAAGATGGTTAACAGGATAAGAAATGGTCCTTTTGTCCTAATATTAAGGCGTAACTTCTGACATAGGCCAACAGCAGTGTTCTCCAAAAAAGCCTGAATCCTCATTTCTGCCCTCTCAGCACTGTCACTGTCAGTAATTAGATGAAGAAAAACATATTCTGTATTTTCATTTGCTGAGATCGGGATCTCCTGTTTGGCAGGATATGTAATTTTGTAAGTGTAGAGATCATGAATTCAGGTAGGAAGGAGAGACTACCAAAGATAGCAAGGTATTTGAAGGACTATTTGTTAGATGCATTAACAGCTGTATTCTCCACTTGCACCAATTCTGTGCTATTTTAAATCTGTTGATTCCAGTGGAGTTAATCTTTTTTTTCTATCACAGAGATGAGAAAAGTCCAATGGGACAGGGCCCCATGATCCCAAATGGTCCCCCATGATCCTAGGAAGAAAAAGCTCTGTGTATGATAGATGTACTTTAAGTGATTCCTCTTACCTGAAGAAAGTAAACTGTTGTCCATAGATCCAAGGGTGTAATGTTAAGGCGGGATATTCTCCAAATGGAGGAATAATGACTGTAAGTATTAGAGACAGCAACACAAAACTAGAAGGGAGAACAACCTGCACGGAACATGAAAATGTCACATTAGGTTATTATATACACATTGTATAGTGATACTGTACACACCTCATAATGTATGCAAACAAAGGAGGGACAGCAGGAACACACAGATCCGATCTAGTTTAGCTCCTGAGCATCAAGTTTAATTTCCAATGCTTTCACTTAAGATTCCGTTTGTCATAGAACTGTATTATGTTAAAAATATAATGTTGGGCTAGTAGTGATTGAACCATGAATTTTGCTCCAGGCAGAAAGAAATACAAGAAGAGGCAGAAGAGTTGGAATCATAATTACACAATTAGGAACACTGTTATCCATTTGCAGTACCTCTATTGCTTTCCACTGGTGGAAAGACAGTGTTCAGGATGTTGTGGGAAAGAATCAAGAACAGCAAAAGTCAGTCAATACCTGGGCTAGGAAGTCCCTGTGGCTGCGGGAGGCACGGTGGAACCGTTTGATGAGCAGTGCTTTGATCTGCTGATGTACAAGCTGAAAACCTTTATACTGTCGGGACCCTTTGCCTTGGTTTTGATCTCCTGCTTTGCCTCCTGGCATTCGAGAAGAGTCATTAGTTTGCAGCGTGGTTTTTTCAGCTGGTTTGTTCTCAGTAGGTGTTTTGCCAAGAGTAGAACCACTTTCTTGAGTGTCTCCTAGGTTAAGATGAGGAGCAGCAGATAAGCCACTTCATCCTCCATATATAAAGTAGCACAAATATTTTCATGATCTCCAGATTTTACAAACTGTATATAACACATTACCAGATTGTTTTATTACCACTGTTTTCACTGTGGTGTATTTAGTGACACCAGGAGGTTAACACTCCTCTTACTCAGCAGGATGAATAAGTTAATGATGTATGCAGTTTACAGGCTAATGGACAGTAAAGTACTTTTTATAAAACTACTAAAATCATTGACAGCTGTGTACTTGACACTCCACTCTTATTTACATAGTTAAGAACCTCACCTAATCTAAATCCAAGTCTTTCTGCTGACTTAATCTTGTTTCTCTGATATCACGTCAGGCCCTAAAAACAGATACTTGCTCACGAAATTTAGTCAAAAAATGCTATACAAAGATTGAAAGTTGTGATGCTCCTCTTTACAGGGTGTTCAGAATAAAGAACAGTTCCAAGAAAAGTTTATCAAATACAGATTCATGGATCTATACCTGTTTTTTGCATTCCAGGGTCAGCTTCTGTTGTGACTTTTAGGAAAACCTGCCATAGACAAATACATCTCCCAGTTAAGAAAAGAACAGTTGCAATAATCTGACCTTTAGAGCATCATACATCATCCTTCAATGTAACAGAAAAAAAATCTGGATACCTTCTCAGTACTTCAACTTATTACACAACCAGAGGTCTCTTATGAAATACCTCAAAAAATAAATGAATGAACAAAGATACAAAAAACGCAACATATTTCAGGCTAATGAGTCATGTTCCACAGGGCTACAGTGACATAAGGCCTGGATCCTTTCTCTATGCCCTTCTCAGAAATTCTCTGCGGCCACAGTACATGTGAATAGGTTTTGAAGAGGATACTAGGAATCCTGAATTACATGTTTAAGAATAGGAACTGTCTCAGTAAACATTTTGGTGGTTTATGGTAAGATCAGCAGGTATTTTAATCTGTGTTACCTCTTCAAGTGGTGTGTCTGAAACTCCAAAACTGCTGAGTCCCAGGTCATCCAGTGTTTCCTCCAGTTCTCTAAAGAGACTGGCATAAGATCGCTGTTTAAAGTTTTTATTGGGCAAAAGGTAAATGAGTTCCTGACCAATGTTTTCAATTAATTTTGCTTCTGGAATATGATGATGAATTACTTCTGCTAGCTCATTTAGATCTCCTGTGAAAAGTCAAAACAGTGTTCATAGAATGAATATTTAACCATACTAAGCATGACTTCAAAAGCTGTTGTTTGCACAATGTTAAAGGGGACTGCTTTATTACATAACTCACAGATATATCAGTTAATTCTGTACTAGACTGGGTTATGTTACTATTAATGCTTTGGAACTATGTATCACGAAACTAGTTCAGGTTTGTTAATAAAGCACGATGAAATCTTCAGGAATACCTACTTAAGTTCTCCTCTTATGCAGAAAAGTAAATTTTTTTTCCTGAGAAAATCAGTTTGCTTTGCTCTAGATATGTTCCAGTTTTCATTACCAAATTACACATTTTGGTGCAGAGTAGTTCAAAACTCTATACTTTACTTCTAAGCACACAAAGTTCCATTTCATCATCTGTGCCTGAGAACACATATACACCAAAAAGGGGCAATGGTAAGCAAAATCACAGAGAAGCCTTGTCAAATTCCTGTTACAATACAACACAAATGTTAGACACAAGGACCGAAGAAGAGGCCTCGGCAGCACAGGTGTGTAAGATGAGATTGCAGCATAACAGGAGACATAACTATGTGCAGGAATGCTGAACCATCCCACTTCTTACCATCCAGTTCCAGCTCGGAGCTCCTTCGTCATCCCTGTGCACACAGCTGGAGCAGGAACAGGAGCACCCAGATCCACAGCTACAAAGTGACTATGGACAAGGAGCAAAGATGAAAGTGCTTCAGATACACACAAAACAGGATGTAAGGGTTGTCGGTATTTGAACAGCTCGAGTCAGTGAAAAATATGTCCAGAGCATCTTGAACGTACTAGACTGAAAGTCATCTGCAGATTGGATTAAGCAATGCAGAAAACATAATTCCACTGCACAAATCATACCTGTTCTTTCTAAATTGCACGCAAAATGCCTGGGAAAATGCGATCAGCAGTGGCCATGAGTACACAGATTGTGTTGCTACTAAGACTGGATGCTCTACCAGCAGCAGAAAGATTCCAGAACTCACAACTTTTCAAGCTGTGAGAGGTTGGTTTAGCTGTGGATAAATGTAGACTCTTCTGGTGTCTGAGCTACTTACTTAAACTATATAATGTTTAAAATCAGTGTACTGCAAAAGCAAGTATCAGAAAGACCTGTATATGGACAAAGGCAACTTGAGAGTTGGAATTGTTCAGCCTGGAGAAGAGAAGGTTCCAGGGAGACTTTACAGCACCTTCCAGCACTTAAAAGGGACTACAAAAGAGCTGGAGAAGGACTTTCTTACAAGCATGTAGTGATAGAACAAGGTGGAATGGCTTTAAACTGAAAAGGAATAGGGTTAGAATAGATATTAGGAGGAAATTCTTCATTGGGAGAGTGGTGAGGCACTGGAACAGATTGCCTAGAGAAGCTGTGGATGCCTCATCCCTGGAAGTGTTCAAGGTCAGACTGGATGGGGCTTTGAGCAACCTGGTTCAGTGGAAGGTGTCCCTGCCCATGGCAGGAGGGTTGGAACTGGATGATTTTTAAGGTCTCTTCCAACCCAGATCATTCTGTGATTCTGTGCTTTCTGTTTTGTACACAGTCTCATGCAGCACTTAATTGCTTTTTACCTTGGTGCAGTGCAAGTATTTCTCAGAGTACATATGCAGGGAGGGAGATACACACTTACTGTAGCCCTTCCAGTTCTTGTGTTTCTCATCTTGCGAACCAGGGTGAGATAGAAGCCAGAGCCAAAGTAGTTTTTTAGGAATACAGGAGAGCCTGAGCAGAAGAGTTTCCCTTGGGATATGATGGCTACTCTGTCTCCAAGGATGTCTGCCTCATCCATATGGTGGGTTGACAGGATGATGGTTCTACCTAGAAGGAACAAGGATGAATGTTCAAGGCATGGACTTCCTCTGGAACTCAAAGCTGTGCTTAGTTTTTTTGTCAATTAATGCTGGGTTTTCTCCGCACCAAAATCAAGTCCCGGGTTTGCCACAGCCATAGGTATCCATCCAAAGAATCTTGTTTGCTTGCATTCATATCCCACTACTCCTGACGGTTTACACAGCAGGCACATGTTCCATCTATGACAAGTTTAAAAAAAAACCAACAAAATTAAACAATTTCTACTCTCAAACAACTTCTTACCTGAGCGATACTTCAGGAGAAGATCCCAGATAGATCGCCTGGAATATGGATCAACTCCAGAAGTGGGCTCATCCAAGACTACCACTTTTGCTTCACCCACAAAAGCAATGGCAACAGACAGTTTCCTTTGCATTCCACCTACCGGAGACAGCACATCCAGGACTCTAAGATGAGTTACATATGTGGTAGGGATGCATTAACATTGTTTTTTGGTATGGGGACAAACTGCTACAAATAAAACAAAACCCATCCTCGAATATTTCTGCAAAGTTAGTAATTTTTCTTCTGAAGTTCATAACAGCTTGTTCAATATATATATATATCTATATATACTTTTTTTTTTTTTCATCTATACCTTGCATTTTCTGCTTCTTGCCAGAAGCAAAAGCAGGAAGACGTAACTTTTTCAGGTTCTTTTGTAAAACTAGCCCACTTTTATAGTTGCAATCAGGACAAAGTAGTATAAGAATACCTGCCTATTTATTCAAATCAGCTTTTGAATCTGAAAGTGAGAGTTGTTCAAATATGCTATGTGCATTTGGACCTTTAGAATGAAAGAAATTGTTCCTACCAAATAATCCAGTATTACAGAGGACTGATCCAAACAGTGGGGTAGCATGATAGTATAATATTTCATTTGCCTTGAAGTAATTGTATTTTGCTTTTTCCCTATGTTAACCAATTTTTAATATATATTTACTTAAAAGTAATAGCTTTAAGTATATTCAAATTTATTGTATATTTGAAAGAAATTGAAGCTTCAGGGACAGGTTGTGCCAGTTTTACTACTTGTACAGTCCCATTTACTCTTTGAGAATAAAGATCTCCCCAGTGCACATTGATGTATCAGAATATGGCCTCAAACATGTAAGTCAAATAATAATTGCCCCAAGGCCAGGTTGGATGGAACTGTGAGCAACCTGGTCTAAGTAAAAGGTGTCCCTGGCCATGACAGAAGGATTGGAACTAGATGACCTTTAAAGTCCCTTCCAACTTAAACCATTCTGTGAAAGATAAAGAAAAGGAAGGAGAAAAAACCATCTTAGAATATTCGTGTGGGCACCTGACAAATTCTGAGCCTCTTCATTCCTTTTGTGGGTGAGGCCTGTGTCTTCTAGCATTGTTTCCAGCTCTTGCTCAGCTTCATCCCTGGATCTTCCTTTCAATTGAGAATAAAACAAGATGTGCTCTGCTACAGTAAGGCTGTGAAATCAGACAGAAAGGCACCAAGACAATTTCAATGAATAAGCTGGGTTCTTTCCCCAAGCAGCAGTAAATTCACTCAAGCTTTGTCTTGCTAAAGAAGAGAGGTTGCGTTACTCTAGAAGATCTTCTTCGGGATCAACACACTTCACTTGGATGTCATAGGCTCTTTCTCTGCCTTTTCAAAACAGAACCTGCTACTAAAGGAACAGGTATAGCAGGCATCAAACCATCCATTTTTGGGAATGAAAGGGGAGCTAACATGAGGAGCTACATTAAGAAAGAGAGTCTGCTGTTGAGATGAATGCAAACTAATGGTAATGAAGCTGGAAATCACCTGAGAAGGCAGTAAGTGGTTGTATGGTGGTGCAAAATGGATATAAAAGTTTCCTGCTACTGCACTGTCAACTTGGAATTTTTTCCTTAGGAGTCCTATATTATAGTGCATGAAGCCTCAGGATGGACTCCTGCTAACCCACACTGCAACAGAAAACACCAAGACCACTTCCATTTTCCTAAGAAAATACTGTGCTTCCAGCAAAATGATGCAGGAGATTTCCACTGCAGAAGGACAACACTTACCCCACGTGAGTATTAAGAGATGGAGAAGTGCCCCTGAAACACATCTACTGCCAGCACAGTAAGAGAAGCAGCCCAGGCTTTGGGCATTCTCACACATGCAGACTGGGATGCTGCTTCTCAAAGCTGGTGTGGAATGATACTCACCGAGTGAACAGGATGTTGTGCTGGGGGCACAGGCCTATTCTGTGCCGAAGCGAGTCCATGTGAGTCTGAATATCCAGGCCACCAATCAGCACAGTTCCAGACGTTGGTGGGAAGAGGCCTGTCAGTATCGACCTGGGAGAACAAAAGGAGGAAATTCCTGCTCTCCTATCTTTCGGTGCTGGATTAGGAAGCTACATTGCATGATTCCACTAGATGGAGTATGATGACCTCTTACTACAGGCCTTGATGAAACAATTCCCTTGAAAAGCATGTGTAAAAGTACTCTTGCACTGCTACAGAGAGAATCTGCTAACATAATTTTTGATACACCTGTCTGTATGATTCTGGTTTCCATCAAAAAACTGTTTTAGTCACCTACTCTGCTTCAGGTAGCTTGTTCAGCATGTTACATCACCCCTATGTATAAAGGGGTCTAAAATGATGCTCACTAGGACGAAGATAGAGAATAATGGTTTGAGGTCTCTGGCCATACTGACTCATGCCCTACACCTTTATTTTCTATAAAATAGAAGGGCACCAAACGTTATGGTGCAAATGGGTGGCAGCTGTTACTACATTTGGGTGAATATTGGGATTTTCAGTTCTAAAAAGTTCAAAGCAATACAAATTATTGGTTTTATCCAGAGAACAAAAAACCCCAATTTACAAAACATTTCAGCACATTAGAATGCTTTTATTTTTGGGTAGAATACCTTTCTTGTGGAACAATAAAAAAAATTAAAAAGCAACTTAAAGTGCATTAGAAGTAAGAGTCTTTTAAAGTAAAAAAACCATAAAGTATTCTGCTGGATAAAGTCATAATGAAACACATTCAGTTCTTTCAACATTTGGTAAACTTGTCACAGACTCATGAAATGTTTTGTTCAATAATTAATCCTATTTTGCCAAATAAAGTTCCATATAAAGAAAATTAAACATTCCTAGAGTCCGGCTTCCTGGGATGCTAGAGTTCTAGGACAAGAATAACATTTTAATCTGGACGTGGATCCTGCATGCATGTAATCATTTTATTTAAAGAGGGTCTATATTTTATACTCCTTTGCACACAGACCAAAAAATGTGACTGACTTCAAGCCAGTTAGAGAAACCAAGAACACATGGAATGTGGTGGCTTGCAATTCTTCAGCCCTTTCAGCCAGAAGAACCTTCTCCTTCTCCACCTAAGGGTAGTTTGGCCATGGGAAATGAATTCTAGGGGGGGAGAGTATTGCTTCCTTCTCTTTAGACTTTCACTTGTTTGTGTCATGCATTGCCTCCCTCCCAGGGCTTTAGCTAATCCAGGATACGTTCTCTGTGCCTTGGGGCAGCATTTCCCTGTCTGGAAAAAGCCTGAATCTGTGTCTCAAGCCAGCTGCAGGGGTGGAGAGAGACGAGGAAAGAGTGAAAAGAGAAGACTGCTCCTCGGGGTACAGCAATAGAGCACTGCCCTGGATTTGCTGCTTCTAAAATAAGAGACTTACATGGTTGTTGTCTTTCCTGCTCCATTGTGACCAAGGAAGGCTGTGATCTGACCCTCATAAAATGTAATATTCATCCCGTCTACTGCTGGCTTGGGCCTGTTTGCAAAAATCTTCACCAGGTTCTGAATGCATACTCCTGGAATCAATCCTGTTGGCTCAGGCTCAAAGAAGGTATTTACTTGAAAGGCAAAAAATTAGAATGAAAAGAGAATAAAAACACCTGGTTTAACCCTAGTTTGATGATGACACATCAGTAAGAGTAGAAGCAATAGCATATACCCAGCAAAACACAGCATCATGTTCCAGGGCCAGATTTTCCAAGTCACACCAGTACCAAACTGATGCCTGATTTCTAATTGCAGTGCAATTTTATTTAGATTTACCCTCATATCAATGACAGGAAAAGTGAAGCCCAGAATTATGGTGGTCTGTGGAAAGGTAACTCATTGGATCAGGTGAAGCTGAACATGATTTCTGTTCTCATTGTGTAGCTGGAAGATTATTTGGGATTGTTTTCTGAAGATACTTAGATAGGCTGAGAGATTACATTAAACAAACAGCAGGTTGCCCTTCTAGCTAGGCTGAAATCTGCCATTCAAATAATCTGTCCAGCTGCGCATTCTTTGACCATGACACTTAAAAAATCTCCCCAGAACACAAACAAAGCACAACAAAAACAATTTACCTTCAATCCTGGTAGGTGAAATTTACCCCATTGCTAAGGCCAGCTCAGGATTTAGACATGAGCACTACATGAGATGGTCTAACATGAGCACTACATGAGATGGTTTTCTCTCAGGATTAAAAACGAATTACTGTAAATAACACCATCAGGATGTTTTATTGCATCAGCTTCTAGACAAAACAAACTTCCTTTGAAGTAAATTAAGCCCTTGGGCAATGTGAATTATGGGAGTTGAGAAACTAAAACTAAAGACCCTGTCCACTTTTGTTTACACAGAATGCTTTAGGCTTTGTAGAGAGGCTTGTTTTGCAATTCCAGTTTACTTAAATTGTTCAGTACCCAGCAGGTCTGTGTGGAGAGCAGCCAATGCCATCTGGGCAAAACCAGCTCCACCTCCTTCAGTAGCCTGTGTGACTGTCACTACAGACAACACTCAGGAAAAAGTCCCAAACATGCTGCATATGAGAGAGCTGTGTATACTACAGATCAGATGAAATAATCAATCTAGAATGGGTAGTATTATTTTAAATAAAATCATGTTCATAGATAACTTGTCTTTTGCTTTGTGAATCTGGGTTTCCATTTACCTTACCAGGACAAATACAAACATCTCTATTGACAGAAGTCCACATCAAGTCTGGCTAAATAGTTATGCATGTATTGGCAACTGAGGCACCTTCCTTGGTTTTACACGCATCATGAGTTTAACTCATATTTGTCTACAAGACTCACTGGTAAGTTCTGAGGCAAATTCTCTGATGATCTCCACCAGTACCTGCTTTGCATCACCTGAAGGATACTGGTGGAGGGTTAAGCTCCCTTGTTTTGTGATTCACGTTTCTCCATTCTGACCCTATATCCTCTGTGCAATTTTGGGCCCTTCAGGTCTTTCTTCAGAGATGCCATCACTGGGGGGATGTGGATAGGGAGTTGGTGAAAGTTCTGTTTAAAATGTAGCAAGCAATTAGGACATATTTACAGCATCTGCCCTGCTCTGCCAACCTGTGCTGGTTTTGGAGTTAAGCTGTTAGAACCACTCTCTATTTCCAATCCCATTACTCTTAGGTGAAGCACTAGCTCTTACATGAAACAATTCTGGAAACTGCATCAGTGAACCATACTAGGTCTGTTTGTGGCTTCTCCACGTGCCTCCCAGTTTCTGTGTGGGTGGCTGAAAGGGGAGACGGCATTTTTTTTGTGCAGTGACAGGCAGAAAGTCCTTCCTCTGTGGCCATGGAGCGGCTGGAACATGGGAACTGATGAGTACAGCACCACAAAGATAAGGCAGTATTAGGAGAAGATTGACTGAAATAACCTTTGACCTCTCCCTGTCTTTTTTCTTTTGAAGTCCTGTCCTGTTTCCATTCACCCTGAATGCATGTTTTCAGTGCCTACGTGAGGAGCTCTGATGACCCCACTTTTATCTCTAGCTTTTCAAGAGTCAGAATGGGCTCAGAGCTGCCAGTAGCAGTTACTTGTGCTGCAGAATCCACATGCATTCCTCTGAGCATCACATACAAAAACTCCTCTGGCTCCCCACAAAAAAAAGACATTGGGACTTGAAAACAAGGCAGGTCACTCAGGAATTCTTAGGTGGTGGCTAATGTCAGCATCAGAAAAGGCTGCAGACAAAAACACAGAGCACTTCAGATAAATCCCTCTGAAACCAGCCTTTCCCTACAGATGCAAGACACACTAAAGATAGACAAAAAAAAAAGGAGGGGTGGGGCTAGGAGGAAAGAACATTCCTCTCATCATAAGTATTTTTATTGAAGTCATGGTTCTGTTTGATTCTAAGGAGTCAATATATCTGTCTTTGAAGCTTCCCTCAGCATGAACACTAACTTGCCAAAGAAACAGCCTGCATTTAAACACATGGTAAAAAACAAGTTATGGAGCTCTTCAGGAAGGCAGCTGTCTTATGTGTAGTGGCTAACATATTCTAAGGGATTATGAATGTAGAGGAATCAGTAAGAGTCAGTCTCTGCTGTGCTTAGCTCTGGCAGTTGCATCCTATCATCTGTAGCCTACTTGGCTCTAATCATTCCTATGTGTAATTTGTTATGAAGTACAATGAGTATGGCATCTCAAAAGTGCTCAGGTTGCTCTCTCTCCTTACTATTAATTTCATCTTTGTCCTGGACATCTGTCTTAGGCTTCCCCTGCTCGCCGGGTTCTTTTTCTCGTTTGTGTTTACACTGTTTGTTTTTACCGTCCTTCTTCCCCTGGTTGTCATTCTTTTCTTCTGTTTTTTCAGGTTCTTCAGATTTATTTGTTCTGCTTTCATTTTTCTCCTCTTCCATGGTCTTCTGATACACATAGCCTTCTGACTCTGGAATTTTGTCTATATAAATCAAAAGTAACCAAGATGTAATGAACCAAAATTTAATATATTCTTATCTCTAGAGGAATTTTAAGGAAAAGGAGGCAGTCCTAAGATTTGAGCTTTCCTAGAGCATTAACTATCAGTAACTCAATTAGTTAGGAGCACAGCATCCAAAACCATCTAGCTTAAAATCTGCTTCACATTGTCAAGATCATATATTTAAAGAAGATGACTGACAATTTTGCAATTATAGACTCAGAGTAAGATCCTGACTGATATTAGGTGCATGTTTGACATTTTGTCTATGCAGCTCTAGACCAAATCCTTCACCATATAAAGATTCACAGATTATTCTGAGTTGGAAGGGACCCACAAGCATCATTGAGTCCAACTCTTAAGTGAACAAGAAAGGCCATAAAAACACTTCCCAGATTTACAGGGAGTGAGAAGAAAAACAAAATTAAAAGGTTAAATGAAAAGCAAAAGGCTAAACTGCTACTTGAATCAAGAGCAGCAGGTTGGAATGAATGAGTTGATGTTCACTTCTATACAAGAATTTCTGGCTTTCTTGTTTGGTCTTAGCCCTTGCTGCCACGAAGGAAAACAGTCACATAAAATCACTGATTGGGTCAGGCTTGAAGCAGGAAGAACAGTTATGTTCAAAGCAGGTGCCCCTGAACGAATTGTTTGCATAACACAAATTCAAGCTAGCAGTCTAGAGTGAAACTGGAACAACTGTAATTTATTAGATGGTCTGGGACTTATTTTTGTAGTGAAATTTCACCCTAACTTTCTGCTATACGAAAGTTTAGCCCATAAAACTGTATAAAATTACCTAATGCACAAATACCCACATAAACAAGGTTACACCATCACCTGGTGATGATGGCGAAGTGGGGGATACAAAAGTGCTCCAATAGAAGTAAATTTTAAAAGCACCAAGATAATTTACCAGTTTATCTTAATTTTCAACTGTGCATTTACATTATCTGATATTTCCTTATCCACTTTTCCTCCCAATACATTAACCCCTTACAATAAATTAAGAAAATGCTCAGTATTATCCCTGAAGGGAAGACAGGAGTTGAGAAAAGTTCTACAGTTGTTCAAGTAAGCTGAGACACTGAAGAGTCTTGGTTCTTCAAATAGATAAGAATCACAGTCTTCTACAAAGGAATTAATCAAAGATGACCTTTCCAATTGTCCCTGTTTGAGAGAACCCAAGGCAATGTTTTGCAGAAGAGAGGATGAAATAACTATCAGCACAATCAGGCTAGTTGAGATAATAATAGAATAATTTAAATCAGAAGTGACTTCCAAATGTTTCCAGTTCAATCCTCAAAAAATAGGGTCAATTCAGATCATGGCAACTATCTCCAAAAATGCAGATTTCACAAACTTTCTGAGCAACCTGTTCCAGTGTTCTAACTACCTTCATAATAAATATTTATTTTCTTATATTGAATCAGAATTCCTGTTTTCTAGTTTACATCCCTTGCCTCTCATGCTTCCTCTAGACACATCTGAGCAGTTTGGCTCTATCTTAGCTTTCTCTCTTCAGGCTGAGTAGACCCATCTCTCTCACCATCTTGTATGTTATGTGCTGCAGCTCCTAATCAACTTGGTGGCTCTTTACTGAGCTTATTCAAGATGGTACAAGAGTGGCATAAATTACGATCTTGCTTAGAAACTGAAAGTAAAAAGACTAAATTAGTGTCGAACTAGACAGAAAAGAATCAGGCTGAGAAAGATGAGGAACCTCAGTGTAAATAAGATCCACATTTCACAAATGTTGTGTTGGGCAATACCTTGAATGTCTCAAACAATGTTGGGTAGAGAGTGGGGTCTGATGCTGCTTCTCAACCCACACTTCAAAGGCTCTCAGATGGAACAGGGACTCACCTCTACTAACCCTAATAATAGCAGGCCACTCGAAGTTCAAAGGCACCTGCTGAGATTGCCAGTACATGGCTGTCTCCCCCCTTTGCAGCAGCTCAGGTAATGGAAATGCTACATCATCACCTTTAAGCAGATCAATGAAGTTATTTCTAAACACCTGAATTGTAAAAGAACTCACCTTCTGCAGTTGCTGTTTTCTCATCTTGTGGGTTTCTAGAGCCAAGCCAGTAAGATTTCTGCACAGGGAAATACCAAGGCTGTGGTAGCCCATAGTCCCCTAAAACAGAAGTAAGTAGGTTACGTGCACTTCATAACCCCACTCCTCAGTAGGAACAAATACAATTAAACTAAATCTGAGTATAATTATAAACACTATACCCCATTGTTGCATATCAGAAGGTCAAACCATCCACCAAGTATCTGCCAGAATAAATTTTGTTTACTGATATTTTTTAAATTTTGGGTAGCAGTAAAATATTAAGAAAATACGTGATGTGATTTGCCTTACCTTGGTTTAAGTACAGTATAGTTGAATTACAGAATGAAGCTACTCCCTGAATCCTTACCAACCAGGGGGCAGCTGACTGTTTAAATGGGATCCTAGCCTCCCTCAGGGATTTTCTTTTAAGGCCCACTTAGCACTCGAGGGTTGACACGAGTGAAAAGCTTTTTATATTTGCACTTATTACCCTGGGGCTAAATTACAAGTCACAGTGAGAAAAGACACTCTGACTGTTATTTCAGCACACAGCCTTTTAGGAAAAGTGACAACACAGTAATCCTCTTCTTAAGCAAAAATGGGGTGTTTTTGTCACAGGTTAATTCAGTTTGGATAAGAGAAAATACAATAACATTATCAATTCTTGTCAGGTCAGGTCTGAGTTACAGCAAGTCAGTACTGCTTTCCTGAATCATATTGATTTATAGAATGCAAGAATTAGAGCTGCTATGTTTAAAACTGGCATCCTTGTGAACCCAAATGTTATTATCCTTGTGCTACTTATTTAAAATAATCAAAGGGGATTTGTAATACTCACTGAAAGATGGTCAGTTTTTCTTAATTGAAAACCACTGTTTATGAAAGTGTCTGCCTATCATCTCTGAATTAACAAAAGTTATCTGTATTTCAGGCAACCACTTATACCCCTATTAATGCCTGTAAACGCTCTGTCTGCATCCACAAAGAGTTTGCCTTGCACTTGCTATGGACTGGACTATATCCCTCTGAAACTGGTGGCTAAAATGACAGCTTCTTATTCAGGATGAATGCAAAAGCCAAGTGGAATTTGTTATGGAGCAGAATGCTCAAACAGCCAAAGGACCAGTGTGCCAATGAATGGTTATCTGCAGAACAAACTTGAGCAGGAACAGAACCATATGACTCAAAGGATAATCCAGGGAACTGGATATGACTCAAAGGATTATCCATAGTAACCTCCAAGACTAGAGCATTGGTTTAGTAGGTCTGCATGTGTGTGACTGAGAAATGCCATGAGAAATTCTACAGAAACAGAGGAGCAGAAAGCCAATAAGACACTCAGAGCAAATACTGGGAAGATGGGAAGCTACTAACTAGAAACCCTGAAAGGTGTTACTTTTGTGTAAAGTGATGACAGAAAAAACCCCGATTTGTATCTATGAACAAAGAAACTGCTGTTGTTTAATTTCTGCTGTGTTTGTGGAAATAGTACATTGTCCACTCTTCTTTAAATAAACAGAGTTGCAGAAAAGGAAAAAACATCCATCTGCCAAGAACACATTTTGGAACTGCAGTTCGCAGGCAGGAGTAATAAATGAAAAGAAAGTTCACTTGCTTTTACAGCATAAGGGTTTACATTTGTTATACTGTAACAATATTCAATATGAAGTAAGATAACCATTTAAGCTAGAAGGACAAACCATTTTCTCACCAAGAAAGTTTCAACATTTTGTAATTGATAACAAAGAAAATCCTTTTGTCAACTCTCAAAAGAACCATGACTCCTCTTTAGAAATAAAATAAATTCAGACATGAACATTCACAACTGCCTGGGACAAAGTATGTGTCTGAGGAAATAGTACCATCCTTTAAGAAATATTTTGCCTAAAATGGCCATAATATATATGTGAACTAGAACTATTATTTCTATATTTTCAAAAATTTAAAGAAATCTCATTAGAAATGGTTGGGATTTCTCAAAAGAAAACATGTACACAATTTGCATTTTAACAGATGATATTTTTGTGGATTTATTTTCTGTTTAAATTACAAAATGGGACCAGAAATTGCATCCTCCTTTTTACTCTTTCCTCCTTTTTCATTGTTTTCAGGAATAAAACAGGAGAAAGAAGAAAGAAAGAGAGAAAAGTGGAAGACCTTAATAAACCAGTGGTGCTAAAGTGGGTAAGATTCATGGTCTACAATATCAAACACCCTACTTTTACAGTGAATTACTCAGAGACTGATTAGACTAACATTTACAACAACTATCACCACTTCATACGGATAAGAAATGGACATACCTGGAAAAACGTTATCGAGATACCAAGAAAGTATTCCATAGAGAAAAGCATCAAAAAGCATCATGATAATGGAAAAAAGAAAACTATAATCATCTCCTTCCAAGGGACTGGTTCTGATGTTACCCCACTGTAGGCCAAGACCTTGTTCTTCATAGCGTGACAAGTACTCTGTACCGAAACCAAAAGCTACTTGAGAAAGCAAACTCTGGAATAAAGGAAAAATTACATTCAACTCAGACAGGGGGGTATTTTGTTAAAAAAAAAAAAAAAAAAAAAAAAAAAAGAGACAACCTTTAGGGACTGGACTTCAAAACTTAATAATGCCTAACAAATGACACGGGAGAAGTTGTTTCACTTTTATATTGGTCTGTAACATTTAATTCTCTGAATTGAAGCAATTCTAAGCAGTTTTTAGCCACAACAGACTGAATTCAACCTTGGTTGTACTTTCTTTAACTACTAGTCAACCTTCACAGATTAGGGTTTTTTCATTAATGTCTCTGTTCAGAAAATACTACAGATGCATCTAGAAGCTCGCAGCATATAGCTTTGCCTATTTTGGAGAAAAAAAAATATTTCCTGAGTGTACAGGGAAGAGTCACTATGAATAACAAGACAGAAAGTACACCAGATGCTCAGGATAAGGAAAACCATAACCACTCCTTCCCCTATCATGCTATGTTAGCATGTTAGCTGGTTCTCACACAACAAACTAATAACCCAGTCGAGTATCTAAATATCCTCCTCAATGTTGCATTGCAAAAACAGAGGAAGAAGAGATACAGTGCTGTTTCACAGGACATGCAGTTCAGCCAGGAATGCCAGACCTTAGGAAAATGAGGGATCCCAATAGCAACTGTTAGTGAGGTATTATCATAGTGTGCTAAGTAAAGAATCTTTGGTTTTCAGCAAAACATTCGTTGTCCTTAAAACTAACATTTTCCTTCAGGCCCCCTACAGATGCACACCCTGCCCTTATCATCCCTTGTAATCAGCTCTTCTTCAGCTGATTAACCTCTGAACAACAAAGGTAAGACAAAAGTAGAGGAACAAATAGTAATATTCATGGCTTCTGGTCAGCAAACATCCTTTCTTACATGGATGCCTCCTCCTTCACTTTAAGGTGAAGAGAGAGTTGTTTTTATGCTTAGACTGTGTGCCAGTGGTAACATTTCTTCCTAAATCAGAGTCTGTCAGAGGCCAACCTTACTCATTTCCAGACTTAACAACCGCATAAGGTTTTGTACTTTATTGCCATAACTGGGAGAACTAAACAAGGTACACACTACATCTGTATAGTACATCTGTTAAGAAAGCTGATTCAAAGCCATATTTACACTTAGGTATAGCTTTCCAAGTGTTTTGTTTTCTTTCTTCCTTTTTCCATAGATTTCCTTGTCAAAGGGGAGAAGAGGGTTCTTTTACCTGTGTTGTTAGAATGCTCAGCAAAGATGGGGAGGCTGGCCTCAAACACCCTTCCTGATTCATTGAGCAACATAAAATCAGTCTGAGTCATTTTGTAAGATCACAATTCCATTTCAAAAAACAGCAAAAAGTTTCCAGCTCCTCTGACTTTTTATGTATCTTAGCTAAAATGGAAGAGAACCAACAAGGAAGCACTGCATGGAAAATGTCTACAACGTCTCAGATGAAAGGTATTTCTCAGAGCTTTAGCTCTTGGGTTCAAATCCTAACTCTATGGTCAGGTCAAGAAGAAATGTGTACCTGAGGTCTTCTCATCCTTAGATATTATGCTGTTAACTAGGTTATAGCACACGAGAAATGTAACTCTCCCCATTTTGTGAATTGCCTTCATATTTACTAAACATACCAGAAGTTAAATTTGCTTTGACTTCTAAGGAAGTGTTCAAAACCATTTAAACAGTAGGTTAATTTCCTAGCATTCAAAAAGTAAAATAAAATTTTATTGAATTTTCTGAAAGCCATGAAGATACCCCTTGCACTAGGCCTGTTAAAGGTTTATGCACTTGCAATCCTTAATTATTTGAGAGAGATTTAGAGGTTTCCCTCTCCGAGTCAAAAAAGCAGAGAGCAAGATCCGTGCAATGCTTTGCAATTCACATATGCACCGTGAGAAGGGGAGCAAAGACAACACAGAACCAGTGGAAGGCTTACTGCTAGGATCTTCAGATTGACAGTCACACGGTCCTGCCAGACAAAGCAGATGATGTGGGGCAGGTACAAGGTGAAGTAGATGACTCCACTGCAGGCAGCTGCCAGATTCGCTTTGGAGAAGAAGGTGCTGAACAAGAAACACTGCATTATGGTGGCTGTGGTGAATGTCAGTAGGAATAGAAAGAAGAGAAGTGGATTGCTATAATGTAGTATTCGTCCACTCTGTAAGCAAAAGGAAAACAGAAAAATTTAGAAGAACTGCTGCTTTCTGAACTGGCAGAAAAGGTCAGAATTGTCATTGACACGTAACATGTAATGAATAATAAGCCAATCTTTCTTACCTAATATGACTTCTAACTCTCCCAGGTAGTAGTTTCAACAACAGAGGTCATTACAATCACAAATCCTTCATCTAACTTTATTCCTGCTCCTGGATTGTCACTTCAGGTTAGTGCAATAGGTTGTGGAGTTTATATTCCTATCCAATGACTGAATTAAGATCATAACTGATTGAAAATAGACATTCTGCCCCTGTCTTAATAAGTAAATGATTCCAATCAAGATGTGCCTGCTTGGAAACTCATATGTTTTAAATAAAAGTATTAGAGTTTATTATAAAGTTTCATTGATCTCTTCTCACCCCCTCCTCAATCCACTTGCTCTACGTGCAGAAGAGACAATGTAAGGAAGTGTGACAAAACATCTTTAAAAAGCCAACAACAAACCCACAGGAAATTATAAAGCTTCTGCACCTAAATGATATTCAAACTCCAGAAGGGTAACACAGCTGAGGAACCCAAGTGCAGTTTCTCAGAGATCCTTGTGTACTAACTAACCCACTGGGTGAACTTTTTTCAACCTTTCTTCATTAAAGCTTTGTAGATTAAATGCTCCCTCTCAAGAAGAGCACAGACTGCTGCCAATTATCTATTTACTCCTAAAAAACCAATGTTGAGATCTATTTATTATGTCAACTTACATAAGGCTCTAATAGGTCTTTAAGGCTATAAATAGGTCTGAACATTGTTGCAACATTCCACTGGGCCTCACAGACTGACTTCTTTATCGGTAGTGATGCAATTCTCACAAGGATGTATTTACAGAGCTGCCTTACACAGGCACAGTGAAATCTGGGAAAGGAAGTGAATTACAGCTAAAAGCACATTCCTCCCTGATATTAATTCCCTCTTGATTTTTAATTAAATCAGTGTAGCAAATAAATTAATATCTCTATACACTCAAGCTGTAATGGAACCACCAGGAACTAGAACAACACACCAGGGAATGCTGATAAGACAAAGCAGAGCGAACCCCAACTGTGCATTTACACCAACATCAGTTCCCCACATCAGAAAAGATGCAAGGGCATTCTTCCTTATCAAAATGCTACAGATTTATATAATCAAATATATCAGCAAGCTCCAAATATAGAGTTTGGTTCTCAGGTAACTGAGATAAGAGATAGTCCTCAGAGACAACATCCAAACTGTCCTAAAAAGTTACAAAATTACAATAATTCTGAGCCACCAAAGGGGTTGGTTTTTTCCAGGTTTTCCTGAAAGTTCTGTCTTGCAATCTCTTTTTCCATTGAAATAGTGGCAAAATTTAAAAACAAAAGTAAGTTACAAGATAAAAATTCTTCAAATTATTGTCGCTTTGATTTAAAGCAATTATTATTTATTGGGAGATGTGCAGTTGCCTATAGAAAATACAATATATATAGAAATCAGCCTGATGGATTGTTTTATGAGGGATCTCACAACAAATCTTTAGCTAGTGAATTTCTGGTTCTGTCTCTGCCAAGAGCTGATGCTGTTATGAGGTCTGCTTAGAAGAATGTGCCGGCTACGTGTCACGATCTGAACAGGCCATCAACCATTCACATCTCCCTATCAATAGCTACTCTTCTTTCTCAACAGCAAACTGGTATCAGAAGTGCAAACACAACAGTGAGTTTGAGAGTAGCAATCCTTACCATAATCAGTACTGTGAGGAGGAGTGTGCTCACAGCCATCATGAGAAAGCTGTCCAGGAACCAAGTGCACCAAATCACCCCATTAGTTACACCCCTGTTCTTCATGGCCTCCTTCAGACGCATCTCCTTCTCCAGCACTATGCCCTTCACAGTCATGGACACCGAATATATCCAAGCGAGCACCATGAAGATGGGGAAGGCTCGGTTCAGGGTGATCATGAAGCTACCAAAGCAAGAAGGAAGAAATAAATTAAAATTAGGTAAAACAGAGAAATATTGAGGGGGAAAGCAAAAGGAGTGGGGAAGAACGCATTCATTAAATATGGAACTGGAAATTCTCAGTCTAAACATCAATAACATGTCACTAGTGAACTTCTCAAGCATCCTAAACATTAATGAACTAGTGGTTGCTGCATTTCCATGAGATAAATCTATTTCTGTTTTACAAAGAAGTTCTAAGGGTTATTGAAGGCTACAAAACATGTGGTGGCTCATGAAAATACAAACTCTCTTCACAGTAAATTGCCATAATCCTTTTACTGTTATCTACAAAGAATATTTTATGACATATGCTAATGTTAACAGTTTAGGAGTGTCATTGGTTTTTATGCTCCTAAAATTCACTGGCAAAAGAATTAAACAAATTAGCCATTATCAGCACCTGAGGCTGCCAGCAAGGTTGCTGAAATTCATACAAACCATGACTCAGGGTATTGGATCTAGCTGAGATGGAGGTAATTTTTCCCATAGCAGCCCCCATAGTGCTGGGCTTTGCATTGGTAGCTAGAAAGGTGTTGATAACACATCAGCATTTTGGCTACTGCTGAGCAGTGCTGGCACAGTATCAATACCAAGAACACCAAGGCTCTTTACTAAAGAGCCTTATCTTGACTCCTGAGTTGTTTTCCATCTTCATTTCTTCCCTTGCTAAGGAAGGGAGTGATAGAGCAGCTTGGTGGACACCTGGCATCCAGCCAAGGTCAACTCACCCCAGTCCTTGGCAGCCAACACGGGGTGAGACAGCAGCAGTTTTACATAAGGATGCTATAGTTACAGTAGTTATTAAGTAGCAAGGTCCTGTGCAGGACACAGTTTGTCAGTTGCACTGCTTATCTCTTCATTTTGCTGAGTCTGGGAACATGTAAACACAACAAATGTCTCTGTGCTTTGCCCTGGCATTGATGGCCTTTTGCTGTGCTGAGGCAGTTATCTTGTGAAGAAGATGAGGAAATACATCTCCCTCTCCCTAGCTGTGATTGACGTGGATAATTTTATTATTCAGGCTCCCAGGGTCCTTTTCCATCCTTATGTGAGATGTTTAATTACTATTACTAATTAACACTGCCAGCGTATTATGGGGTTTGTGGAATCCCATGTTGTCTTGGTGCATGAGAAAGCAAATTTTGGGTGAGGGGATAATGAAATGTGCCCTGGCAGGGCAGGGCAGTGTCCCTGGGTGGCAGGGCATGTGGAAGGATTTGGGCAGGTTCCGAGTGTCGTTATCACATCCATACCCTGGGACTTCACACCTGAACAGGCAACCAACCGTGGCAAACTGAAATGTCACCTGATGGAAGGGTGCCTGGCCACCCCAGTGAACACCAGCGGCTTCTCGCCCTGTACCGGGGCCTGGCCTGTCCCACAGAGCCACGGCTCAGTACTCTCAGACTCCCAGCTCAGGCAGGGACCCAAACTGCATCTGAGGACACTATGGCTGAGATGGGGACCCAAACAGCAACTACAGGAATTGCCCCAGTAGTGAAAAACAAAAGATGGATAAGGAGAACAACAAGTCCATATCATTGACTAGACAGAGGGAAAGAAGAAGAAGGAGAAGAAGAGGGAAAAGGAGAGCCTGATCAAGAAGACAGTCCTTAACAAAGAAATTGAAGAAAGGAGTGAGAGAATTTAAACAGTAAAAAGAAATTACCCAGTGAGATTTTGGGGTGAAAAACCTGAAAACATTTTCTGTGAATCTGGCATTGCAATTTTTCAATGAATATACCCCAAAAACAAAATGGAGTTGATTCTTTAAAGGCCAAAAGCTCAGAGGTGCTAAAAATCAGATGTTGTCTGGATGCAACAAAGGCCGAGATTGGGATTAGGGGTAGAATCTTGGCCAAGGTGGCTTCTGGAGTCTGGGTTATGACAGGATAAGGAAAAAATCAAATTTAGTAAGTTACGTCTCAGTTATTGCTCTTGCATATACACTTTAGAATTAGGATTAATTCTGGTGCTTGAGAGTCTCAAAACATCCAGCAATCCAAGCATTCAACAGAATTAAAACAAACTGCTTTTACTCACACATCATCCACAAAACATGGATATGGCATTTGCTGCAGATAAATTCCCAATGGCACTTCAGTAGTGGTCTGAGTCTTTATAATCCCATGTTCAATCATGTCTTGGAGATATGCAAAACCTCCCCAGATATAACGTAAATCATCCACAGGATCAGCTCTTGGACCAGGATCCCAGTACCTCAAAAGAAATTTCACATGGAACTCATTCTGCACTGCATTACATAGTAACTATTAACAAACCCAGTTGGATTTCACTCATGTGAAATGTAACACAATGCAGGTTCTTATATCCTTCTGTCTCATATTCCTGTTATGGTAGGCAAGAACTGAGAAGCAACCATCACTCACCTGTCTTTGATTTTGTTTGTTTTCTCCACTGCATCTATGTCCATCCGGATCTTGTATGTCACATGTGGTGGGAGATTGCTGGTTGTAGGTCCTAGGTCTGGAAAAATCACACCAGCCCAGAATTTGTTTTCCTCCAGCAGATAAAGGGCTTGATGAGTCAGTTGAGTTTCATCACTATAACCTTCAAATTTATCCAAGGTCAAGCACTATAAATAATTACAGAGAGAATAGACTAGTAAGAGATATACATTAAAGCAAACAAGAGTGGTTGAATACAGAAAAGGGAGGTAGGTTCATCTGAAGTAGTTGCTATTTTCTACTTTAAAACCTTATGGTGAATCTGCTAAAAGTTGACTCTCCCTCCTGAAAGGTTCCCTATTCTTAGTCTAATTCTTATGACAAATCCAAACCAAACACCCAGCATTATCAATATAAGCTCAGAAACATAATTCTCCCTAAAAAGAACTGTACTTCTCAGGTTCAGCATTGTTGTGGTCAGTGTAAGTGGATGGAATAATTTTGAAAGTAGCTTATTTTTGATATTTAAGGATTGCTTCCCCCAAACTCAAGACATTTCCATCCTGACAAGTAAGAAATCAAGCAATGCTGGCCACAAACACAGGAGTTGCTGTTCCCATCTAAGCACGACAGGGCAAATTTAGATATACCTGTACAAAATGTATAGGGAGTATTACATTCCACGTCAATGAATTAGATTGAAATATTTTTTAAAATACATTTAAGCCACTGTAATCATCCAGATATGGACACGTGAACTCTGCCACTTGGACTACGTTTGGAAGATTCCCTCAGAAAGGCAAATATCTGAATTGGAAAGGTTAAAGCTGCAGCACTGCTGAGGTCCTGGTATCAGGAACCATTTCCACAGTCCTCATCCAGGAGATAAAATCAACCCAGCTATAAAACAGATCTGGCCATGAGAACTCTTTAGCAGTCCATTTGAAACAAAACGTTATCCTTTTTCAAGTTTTTGCTGTAGTCTTTGAGGTTACTATAAGAGTATTCTCAGCTGCACCACAGCTTGCAGCAGAGATTTGGAGTCTCCAAAGATAGCTGCTGGCAGCACACCTCTCCTCACTGCATACCATGGTAAGGGGTAGGCTGTCCCTGAAAGGGAGCTATTTGTTCCCATTGTGTTTGGCACGGTGGGAAAACATTCTCAAACGCTAACAAAGCGTAAACAGCAGACTTAAAAGAATAAGCTCATTACAAAGAATGCTAGGACACAAAGATCTATTACCAGGTACAGTAACTGCCCTGATATTGTGGATGTTCCAGCACTGACCTGCTGGAAGCAATATATTTCGCTCAGTTTGAGTAAGAAATAATTTTAGTATGATGCAAAAAGATCACCAAAAGAATCAGCAGAGCTTTGTGGAAAACCTTTATTGTTCCCTCTTGCAGTAGCTGTAGGAAGGCAGATAGATAAACTCTCAGTTCCTGCCTTCTTACAAGGGATGAATAGTCTTTTAGCCTGAACCACACTGAAGTTAGGTTTAGTCCTGTTGTCTGTAACTAGTACCAATTTTCACTGTGAGCTTGAGCTCAGTTTATTTATTCATTAAATAATAACTAAATATTTACTTTTCCTTCAGAGATGTTTGTGAGATGTAATTCATCTCTACAAAGACTTTGACTCTCATATGGTAAGTGCTGAATTCCCAAGTATTAAGTCCTCTAAAAAAAATATAACATTTTTCACATTGGACATAGTTTGATGAACTCATCAGTAAGCTGGATTGCCCATACCAGAGTAACCTCTCATTCAAAGTATATTCACAATGCCTTTATATTTTAATCTACATCTTTAGCATTTTTTTTTCCATAATTAAACTTCACTCACTTGCTGCACTGCAGCTCTAAAAATCCTCAGAGGCCATCACTGAAAACAGCATGTTAGAGAAGAGGGGTACAGATTCCAGGAAAGAGAGACAGACATCTTGTCAGAAGTGGCTACAGAACAAGTGGAAACTCTCTCATTGACTTAAGTGGAACTTTGGTCCAGTGCTTAAAAACCTGAAGGGTGACTTACCAAAGAACTATTAGTTTCTCTGGTCCTAATCTTGCTGAAACAAGTGGCCTGTTGATTATTAGTACTTACAAAAAAATATTTCCTTGACAGTTTGCATTCACCTTCTGCCTCAACAGTGAAGTGTGTTCAGACATTCAAGCAACATTTTGAATTTAGTATTTAAAGATCATCAAATTGAACTTTTTTTCATAATAATAAGCATTCATGTTCTGGTACCACTGTATTATTTAAAACATGTGCTTTTAATAATGAGATTAAATTTGAAACAAATGAAGATGCCTTATGATTTCAACATTCTTGTCTGTTACCACAGACCCCAGGACATCTAAACAGGTTTAAGGTTTACTTCAAGTATTCCCAGTGGGGGTGGGCTGACCTTACCTCCAAATACTGACTGAGCAAATGCAGAAGTTGGTCTGCAGCACTGAAGATGTTCCGCCAGTCAAAGTCCGGCATTCCCTTCTCCCGGCTCCTGGGAGATCCATTGTGGAGAAAGTTGATTATGTGTTCAGCAGTTAAGCCTTCAGAACCCAGCTGGTTGTTCAAGAAGTTCCTCACTGTAGGGTGCTTCAGAGAGTCCTGAAGAAACACAGCAGGACAGCTTCACTACAAGGACTGCCTTTCTAGCCTTGTTTAGCTAGAAAGGTTTCCATTTCCATAGCTCTTTCGAGACAGGAACAAGTGCTAAAGGGTAGGCTAAGGACTTAATTTTACAAATGGGTAATTGCAAGAATGGATGAAAATAAATTTACCCTTGACTACTTATAGCATTGCTTCCTTATAAGCAAGAGGATATGTTATAAATGTCTAATTGAATATAGAAAAATGAGGGAGAACAAGTGTTTTTTCTGAAAACTGCTTTATTAACTTTAACTATGAATAGTAATCACAGCTGATCAAAGTCAAATCTAAGAGATGAGGAAATAAGCAATTTCCCAAAGTAGTAAACTTTTGGCCCAGCAAAAGCATGGTCCTCCTTTGCCTGTACAGAATCCAAGAAAATCAAGTTGTCTGTTCTTGAAGAACATTTTGGAGAGGTGGGGAAGGAGTGATTGCTGCCTTCATTAAGAAGTCGTTAGTCAGATTCTTGACTGCCCAGATCTGAGGTTTGGTCACAGAAGTGCTCTAATGCATCTATGACTTGCCTTCAAACCAAGCCCAGTAACCAAACCTACACATTTGAAAGCCACAGATTCCTTGCTGCAAAGGCTGTGCTTTCTAATTAATTATCTTTTCCACTAGTAAAAATAAAGGATGGTGAAAGGCTGCTCTTACTGAGGATCCCTGCTAAGTTATAACATACACGGATCATGTTCATTTGCAGGCTGTTTTGAAAGAAGTGCCACAGTTGAGGTCCTATTTCTTCCCAAGCTTTGGTCAACAGTCTGATGCGTTCCAGCTCCTCAAAAGTGGTATTTGCCTGGTGAAAAAAATAACAGAAAAGAGTGTTAGAAGTCGAAGGAGATAAACAAACAATTTATGATCCATCCAGGATTCAGTGACAGGGAAACCCACAACTTACAAATGCTGTGGTTTTTACCTTCAAAACTAAATAAACATGTTAAAATAGCAGAAATGTTAATAATCCTCAGAAAAACAATCTGTAAAATCTAACCAGAATCAAAGTCACTTAGGATAAAATTATGTTGCATATGTAATGGAAAAAACAAGTGCATAATAATCCTAGTTAACTTCAATTCCTTTAAATGCTCAGATTTTAGGTAGAGTTAATTATTTCTTTCTTTTTCCCCTGGACTATTTCTCTCCATTAAGAACTAAAAATAAAGCTGATGTGGGTAGATGAATGAATGAGAGGTAATTGGAAAAGACAGGTACTCCCATAGTTAAGATATCAGTTAAGAGTTGAAATGTTGGGCTGCTGTAAATGAGATGTTCTGCTGTGTGAACTATGAGCAGCAGCTCTGTGCCTTGTATAGATGTTGAGAGTAAGTGAATTGCTGGCTATGAGGGGGCCAAAACCTCGGTCATATGTGACCTTGATTTAAATGCTCAGATTCATTTCACCCAACTTCAAGTATTTCACTGAAGAGTCCAGGCTTCATCCTATTTTCTTGAAGAGAAAATTATTTATCATTTCAACAGATATAATACTAAACCCTAATGTCGCTATTGGTTTGCAGTCTCTCAGTATTAGGTCTCAGTGAGTCTATCCAAGCCTCACAGCTGCCCCATTTAAATATTTACTGGTACAGAGCTGTTCATTTTCCTACCTCTGTAAAGTAAATATAAATATTACTATTTTTACTACTGTAAATATGGAATCATGCCAACAAAAGGCTGCTCGAGTGAGCTGGAAAAAGCATGTAGCATGGACCAAGATGGGATGAATCAGTGAAGATCTCTCTCCTGTTTTTTAAACAAAGAGTAACTCTCCTTCCTCTGATTGCCATCAAGAAAAAAAAAAAAAAAGGAGTTCTGAGAAGAAAATCTGATTAAACTGGGGTAGTTGGGTCACTGTTTTTCAAAAAGTGTTTTTAGGATGCAATTTTTTAGAAATACACACTTTTGCATTTCAAAACTTCTTACATTTTTTAGGATTTGCCGTACAGAAGGTGAATCAGGAGCAAACAGAATTTTTCCCATCAGCAGGGGCTTCACAGCACTCCAGGCTATTTTGGTTAAAGGGTTTGATTCCAAGTTCTGGATCAATGCATTACAAAAGGGTGCTAAAGACAGAAAGAAAGACAGTCTTTATGTAATCTTACTCAAATCCTACCACACATAACATCCTGTCAGGCTTTTTATTGGCAATATAGACAGTTTAAAGCATTCAGAATCTGAATGGGTTAAAGAACATTCTGACGTAGAAGCACAACATTTGAATGGATAGAAAAGACTATTAAGTAGATGTGGAGTTGTAAAGTACACACTATAGAAACTGGAAGAGCAAACATGAATAACCATTTGAAAGTTGCTGTCATTTATATGGTATTTCAAATGCAAGGAAACCAGGTAGTGCAAATCTCACTGAGTAATTTTGAGCTTTAATTGCTTTATTTCTAATGACTTTGCTCTTTTATATTTTAGTTGATACTGATACAAAGTGGATCCAGCAGGTTTGGATGTTGAACTCTGGAACAGTTCAGAACTGGATTCTACAGTAATTTAGAATTAAACATTTTAACATAAATATTTTTATCTTACTCCTGCACTATGAAGTAATTAGTTTACTTGGATAACATGCAACTATTTTGTTCCTTGGTGAAGAGACAAAGTACTGGGCCTTTACAGGTCTTTTGAAGGTTCAGACATAAGTAGAGCCAAGTATCAACACAAACAGTGAAAGGTTGGAGTCTCTCTATAAGCTAAGTGCTCATCTGTACTTTATAACCGTGCAACCATCTCTACCACAGCAGAAGGGACATGGAAATATCCTACCAGCTCTAATATGGATGGTAGTATGGAAAAATTGCTGGTGAGCTCAGTGTAGAGAAAAACTAAATGGCAAATGGAAGAGGACATAGTAAAAAGACAAAATAACAAAAGGTAAAAGAGATAAAATTGGTTCCTCTTCGCATTCTCTCTTATCACCATAACAAGAAGTGAAGAAATCAAAGCTGAAATATTTTCTACATCAAATGTAATCATGTTGTAGAATATTTTTGCTACAAAATATACGTCCTTTTATGCAGAAAGAGAACAGCCACCATGGATCAAATGGAGCATTATTTAAAAAGAGAGATTTTTAAATTCCTGTGCTCCAGGCCATCAAACAAGTTAAGAGAAAAAACTGAATTTAGAAAAAATATTTTGGAGAAAAGTAGTTCCAGAATGTAGCATTGTCTGTTCCTGATTCTTCTTCAGAGGCATCTTTTCCTTAGTGATATCAGTAGCACATAATAGAAGATAAAGTAGAGGGACTGTCTTTAATTATGATCATGACTATATTTATGCCTCCATATTAAAAGCAAATGAATATTTCTGGGCTTCTCTCCTTCCAGCTATGAAGTAAGTATGAAGCAAAATCATTTCACCTGTCTCTAATTTCCTGAATCAACTGTTTAAAAATATTATTTTATAAAAGGAACAGTGGTTCTTTAACAAAAGTTGCACCTGTCTACAGTCTCGTAATGGTATGGTGGAAAAACTTACTGGTTGTATTATCATAAAGATAACTGGATTTCTTCCTTGATGAGTCAATCCCCAGGAAAGCTTTGTAGTTGTTATCTTCATACCAGTTGAAGGAAAGTACTCTGGATCCACCTCCTTCTGGGTAGCCACAGAAAAGATCCGACAGGGAACTCACCAACTGGCCTAGGGATCCTGGCCTTCCGGCTTGTAGCAATGGCTGCAGGGCCACCAAAAGGTCCTGAACACTCTGCTTGCCAGCCAGCTGCAGTAAGACAAGACTTTGTTAATTGCAAGCTCTCCCAAGAGGGTAAGGATCTGGTGAGGTCTCAGTTGTGCCCAGACAGTAAAGCATGAATGCAGTCAGAACCACACTCCTTTTATCTCCTCTGTCCTGGTCACTGGCATCATGTTCAGTTCTTGTTCTTTCACATCTTTTCTGAAGGAAAGAATACACTTCATACTTACCAATGCTTATGTCTACATTTATTCTGTAATAAGAGAATGATATTTAAGGAATCAACTCTTCCAAACAAATCTACTTTCCTTCTGGTAAAGCAGATAAATGGAACACAAAAAGAGCAAAGGAAAACAAGGACTATGTGCTATGCAGAACAGTCAGCTATTATTAGACCACTCACCTTTTGCACTGCGTGGGAGACATTAGACAGCACCCTCCCCCAGGCCCTCAGGTCAGCACCTGGTGAGTTCCTGTCCAACACAGTGGGAAGCTGTGAATACATAAGAAATACAGATGAGTTTTGTTTAGTTTCTACATTACAACAGCCATTACAGTAAGAAGAAAATCCAAATGGAATCTCTTTAACTCAAATACTTTGAGTTATTTGGAACAGTATCTTGTGGGGGCCACAAATCCAGTACTCACATGCAGACTCACACAGTAGCCTGCGTAAGTGTTTTTTCTAATACAAGGCTGAAACAATCACAGTCCACTAAAAATATAGCTTGGGATTTGTTCTGCTCATCTAAGCCCAACATAACAAAAGGCGAAAAGATGGAGGAGGAATGCAGGAACTGGGGTTTCTGAGAATTTGCTTCTCACAGAGGCCACTCTTCCAGTGAGATCTACAGACTCTCGGTAACTTTCAAATTTAGCCAAGGTTGTGATACAGAAGTCCCCATTTGCCATGGAGGTAAATAACTTGTAGTACTTTATACTTCAGAGATTCGCTGATTTTGGAGACAGTCTGGTCCTCACTGTCAGACCTGACAGGAACCACTGCTTTCCCAGCTCCTGCAGACTGACCAAATTGCCTTTCCATCAGAAGTTAACACTTTCGGTATCAATGGCTTAAAAGAAACAGGTGACACCATGGTGTGCTTGTCACATACCACTTTGTTTGCATCACTGCATCCTTCTTTGTCAGCTGTCTAAAGAATGACATATGCACTTGGAGATAGCACTTTTTGAGGCTTTATTAGGTATATATTTCTTCTGCTATTACAAAAAAAAAAAAAAAAAAAAAAAAAAAACCAAAAAAAAAAAAAAGCTGGCCTTGTAGCCAGCTAGGCTGTAATACTTATGAGATAAGCCCCTAAAAAGTCTTCCCCAAAACTGCCTAGCTATACACCCTGCTGATTGCTTGCCATTCCCTTCAGTCAGTAGGTGGTTAAGAAAGCAGAGGACAGCTGCACTGTGTAGGGACCTGGCAGGGAGTCACAGAGGCAGGAGTTTTTATGGAAAGCTTATACTAGCATGTTCTGATTTGTCACTTGCAGTTCAAGCAGGAACCATACACATACAGTGCTTAAAAATACACTTTTCTTGTCCCCTAAGGGGAAACAGTCTCTGCAAAGATTATACAGGGTTCTCAGAGGAGAGGAACAGGCATTGTAAACAACCTGTAAAAGAGCTGGGCAGCGTAGTGTGCATATTCACATAAATCTACCTTAGAAGTACTATGGCATTAATTCTCTGCTACTTCTGCAAGCATCAGATTTATGAAAATATAAGAGTATATTTTTAGAAATGGAAAACAGGAGCTTTCAGAAGCTCACCACAGATTCTTATCGGGATTGGTAAAATCACATGGGCACAATGACCGATCATGAGTGCTACAACTGAATTGCTGGTGTGTCAATTAAAGCTTCTGGCATCTTCTTTTCTCAGTTCTGAGCAACTCAGAGCTGAATAAAATCCATGATGATGCTACACTGCTGTGGCAGAAAAGTTCAATCAATACTTCCTATGTAACTTTAGCAGTCGTTCATATATCCTGCCTAGTTCTATACAGCAAACTGACAATGTGTTGGTTTCATGACCCTAAATTACAAGGTGAAAACCAGTAAATTAAATTAATTGTTGAAAAAGGAAAAGCATGATCATAGAGAAAACAGACATGAAAGATGTATACACAGTGATGGACTCTAAGTTCACTACCACAAGGAAAGAGACCTTGGATTCTTTATGAATAGTTCCCTGAAGGCACCACATCAGTGTACAGAATACAAATGAAATATTTAAAAAAAATTAGGAAAAGAACACAGAAGAAAGGGAAGAAAAAACCCACACCAATATGCTATTATATATATATTTTATATGTTATTATACATTCAAAAGTAAATGTATCAATTTATGTTTATTTATATATATTTAAAATGGCATAATATCTCCATAGTAAACCAAGTTTGCAGATGTGGTTATAACACAAAGAAGAGCAATGAAAATGAACAGGGGTAAGGAAAAGCTTCAATAAAAAGAGTGACGAAAGCCAGAACAACTTCCTAGTTTGTTTGTTTGTTTTTTATTAAAAAAGCTCACATGGCTATGCCAGCTCAAGCTATATCATGGCTTTGACTGCAGCATAAAATTCTGTCATGCTGGATGGGACAAAGATAGGATGGGTTGTATGGGGTATTTTCAGAATCCTCAGCAAGGTCCCTGTAGGTCTTGCTATATACCGTTTTGCTACACAGACTGGAAAGACCAGATAAGTTCCACACAAATTTTGATTTTAAGATTGCATTTCAGTCTCTTAGTTCTGCTGTACTGTGAATTTCATTTGTTTCATCCCAAAGCATACTCAGAACTGCCTAGTATCCTGCTGATGGTAGGTTAATTATCACATATCCATATCCTTATATTTGCAGGGGTAAATAAACAAAGACCACTTGGAAAACTGGTGACATAACACAAACAAATTCTTGAAGGGCAGTGAAATATCAACCAAAATAAATTACAACATAAGGCAGGATGATTATATTAATACTTACCAGCTGAAATAACTTAAAGAAATCAACATTTGCATACAAGGCATCTTCTACTCTCTGTAGACTTTCCTGGGACAAAGCACACATGGCCTTGCGTACAGAAGGGAGACCTCTTCGGCTGCCGAAGATAATAAAGCGGTCCAGGAGCACCTCACTGCAAGCAATGTCCTTCAGAGTCAAGTTAGGGACACCATAGGCAAACTGCAAACAAAACCAATGTTTCAATTTACTGTTGTGAAACCTTCTTGCGCCTCAGAAACAATTAAAACTTATCACAAGTGGGCACCTTGATACCAATCCCTCCTAATATTTTAATGAACGGCGGAAACGTGGTCAGCTGGAGCATCAACTCTTGAATCACTTCCACTTGATATTATGCTAGATCACCTTGCCTTCAGTCACATCTTTCCTCCTCTCATTAGTGATTTTTCCTTCCATTAAAAAAGTTCTTGTGAGTTGTCTTCCCTTCCTCTCTGTCATCTAAGCACACATGAAGTCATGCCACCCATCCTTGTGGCTAAGGAGGGAGAGCTACAGCTTGCTTGAAATTATTTTCCCAGTACCAACTGACGGTGCTACATCACTCTACTTTTTGTGTTCAGGTTGATTACTTGATTTTGTCTTTGCTGTCAATTACCCAAGAAAAGCTTGATTTCCCGCAGCATTTTATTTCACAGTGGTGACCATTCCACTGCAATGCTTCTCCACAGCCATTATTCACTGTCACTGTGCACAGCACACAGCCACAATTTACAGAGCCATTTTACATTAACTCACACCTACTGATTACCATTTCTATTGTAAATATGGAACAGAAAAAGCCCCAATTTTTATCTTTAGTGTTCAACACTGACAACAGATTAGTTTATAATTAAACCAATGTAAAGGCAGAATAACTCCAGAGAAGTCAGATTTACTTGGGATTTACACTGCTGTTAAGGAATCCCCTTCATAGTCTACTAAAATACGTTCTACTTATAATGGACAGAATATATGGCAATATAATAAAAACCAGCACTGGAAATTGCTCATGAGCTAATGTTCCCATCCTCTCTTCATCTCCTTTCACTGTACAAATTGTAAGGAAAAAAGCTCAGAACACTTTGATGACTGTAAATGCCTACTGTGTTTGAGACAAACACAGACCTTCAGACAAACAAGAACTATGCACTGACACAACATCATTAGGCTAAATGAAATTAATAAGCTGCATAGAAGAAGATATTGTCAAAATCTACCCAGAATATAATTTTCTTTAGAAAAATAATCTGCTGAGCATTCCAATCTCTAAGACATATGGATCAAAACAAACACACCACACACATACCAGGTCAGACATAAACACGTCTTTGTTTCTTATTTAAGCAAATTAGGAAGTTCATCTAAGAGATTCTGAACATTGTAAAAGTGTTATATCTGCAAAAGTCCTATAGATAGCAACTGAGACTGGTTTGGTGATACCTGTAAAGAGAATATTTAAACACACAGAGGAATGAGAAAAAACCTAACTCAGTTGTTTTGGAGCGTAGGTTCAAGCTTGAGGAGTTATTCATTAAGTGCTCTATCTGTCAAAAGCTATCACAAAAGTGCAAGTGTGGCTGTGGAAAGTCAGCATCCAGAGGCAGAGAGGTCTAAGTACAACACTGTATTTTGTCTGCTATGACTGTCCTCAGTTCCAGCTTATGGAGATGCAGTAGGTTGGGGGGGGGGAAAGAAGAGAACAGCATCTGAATTACACACAGATTGTGTATTGGAATTATGATGGAAATTGGAAAAAAGGGATGTGGATTTCTAGCAAAAGTATCTGAGAGGCACTATCATCACTACAGCTGTACTCATATAAAGGCACTGTTAAGATCAGAGAAAGCCTGGAGAGAGGTAGAATGCAAAAGTGGGAATGCAGCTGACAGATACAGTTTGTCTTGCTAAAAACCTTCAAAACCAAACACCCCTGCCCTCCCTCAAACTGGAACATTTGATTTGGAATTATCTGTGTTTATGTCAGTGAAAGAATTTGCTTATTTGTTCAGTCTCTCATGTCCTGGGGCCGTGTGTGATAAGAAGAGCATTTTTCAGCCATATATGCCTCGTCTGTCATGGTCCTCATCATGCAGAGTGAGCTGCAACGAAACTGGACTGCACAGGGAGGCAGCCTCAGAACCTTGCTTTGACTTGGGAAATGAGGAAGCAGTGACATTAACATCACTGAGAAGGATAAACATATTAAAAAAAAAAAAAAAAGAGGTTATTTACAAACTGTAACTGCATTTCAAGAATGTTCATGAACAGATGGGATTAGAAAAACATCAAACCTCCGCCCTTCCAATTTTTCCGGTAGGGTGGGCTGCTGCCAATCTTTCCTGAACTTCTCATTGTGTTTTAACATCAGTCTCTTATCCTTATCTTAGAATGACTCAAAAAAGCAGGTCCTCAGAGGCAAACTTCAATACTTTTTTTTTTTAATCAATGTGTCACTGTTTGGCCAAAGTTGGTAAGATGAAGTCCAAATTATTTTTTCAGCTAGTTGGCTGTTTGATCAGGTTTAGCTTTCAGCTCTGTGTGTCATTTCCTGACTCCCAGGCGGCTCAGACCTAGATCTGCAGCCAGCTGTTGGCAACAGTCAGGCTTTTGTAAACAAGTTGCTTTCAGTTTGCTCAGCTCTGTGCCATCAGAGCAAGGGGGAAAGAGTGTACAGCAATATGCAAGCAAACAGAGGGCAGAGCAGCATGAAGAGCTAGAGATGAACCATCATGGTAGACGATTAAGACAACCATAGATCTAGGGTTTAATTATGGCTCTGCAACTTCTACCTCAACCATACATAAGTCCAGCCCAAGAAACTTGCTCATCAAGGTCTCTACAGATACTAAGCAATCTGTCTCCCACAGGAAATAAAGTGTTCAATTTCCATTGAAAATAATTCTCTTGACATCTCCTGAAAATTACAAGATTAGTTTTTCTGCATCGGTTTCCCCTGGAGGAAGAAGTATTCACAGCACTTTCTTCCCTCACAGCTGTAAATCAGCTCTGGTGAGATGATCTTGTATCCCTGAGATTATTGCTACCAAGAAAACTGTATGGGGGACAGCAAAAGTGGTATTTAACACCAGATCTCCTCCAGCTTCCTCTCTAACCAATGTTCAGATTTCTTTAATTTCCAGCTTAAAGAGAACTACATCTCTTTCTACATCAGCACAGAAAATACAGCAGAAAGACACCAGCAGGTTTCAATCATACTTTCAGTGGTGGTGTTGAAAACTTCAGTCCTGCATACACTGGCAAGCAGAGGTTTTAACAGTAGATGAATGAATGCCACTGGGGAGCTAATAGAAACTAACACAGCAGCACTTAGTTCTCCTGACACAGCAGATCTCTTGTGAAGAAGAGGTTAGGGACAATGAGCGAAAGAGAAGCCCAGCAGGATATCTGTATATATTCTTGTCACAAGCAAATTTTCACCATCTCAGATGATATGGAGGTGTGAAAATAAGTAGGATATATATCAATTGACACCGGTTTTGGTATGATCTTGTGGTATTGCTCCATGATAAAGTGAGGAGAGGGGCAGGCTTCCCTGGTATTAATCAAGAATACAGCAGATAAGTAATCTGACTACTGGTCACACCAGCTGGAATCTGTGATCCAAAAAAGGAAGCACATGCAAGTGCATGAATGCCCTCCCTCTTTCTGGCCACACACAGTTCCAGTATTTGTGTTTTATGTGGCAGTGAAAAAGACGAATTGTGTCTTTCAGCTCAGTTATTCACTTGCTTCCACCCACACACTACTGCAGTGTAGAAATTGTTCCAGAACTCCGATTCAGCAACATTCATTCATTAATACAGCATTCCTCACAGAGCTCCCAGCCACCAGTATATGCAGAGGCAGAAATAGCCTGGACTTGGTCAAACAGTCCTTAGCTGCTTCAGGAGGGGTTTAAATTCACTCTGAATTTTCTGAGCAGATCTATTATTCAATCAGAATCTAAGAAAGCGGATCTGTTTCTCAACTGGCAACTGTTCATGATGTGAGACAATGCCAAAAAGCCACCACATTACTCTGCTGACATTGTGGTAGAGAATTTAAATAATAAATTTAAACCTCCAAAAATTCTCTCTGGCTATTCATCAGGACTACTGTCTCAAAAGGATGCCTTATGCTTTTGAGTCAAGTCATGGGAATGGATGCATAGTGTGGCAGGATCGTTTCTTGATGCTCATTTTTTGGAAGGAACAACAGCACTGAGCAAATATCTACATTTAATGCATATTCAAAATGCTTTTTAAAAGACAAAACAAACATCTCTTCTTCTAAATTCACAAAAAACAGAGGGAGAAGTTGTACAAACAACCCATAAGACTTTAGGTGCTCCGAGTCCAAAGCTCTCACCGAGGCTACTCTGCACAGCCAGCTCATGATAGTCTTTCCTCACAGATAACAACTTGGTACCTGTTAAGCTCTACCCACCTGTTCAGGGCGCACTTGAGCATTAATAAGCTGGAAAACAACAAAATCTGAGAGGCCAACATTTTCCAGTAAGAAGGAAGTGAGGGTCTCCCCATCTTTCAAAATGTCTGTAATTCGTATGCCTCTTCCTGGATGAAGAAAGGAATCCACAGATCAGTGAGATACCAAACAAAGGAAGCTAAAGAACAACTCATACCCTGGCTTAAACCTGCAAAAAGAATGTACTTTGGCTCTTATATTTAGTAGTGACTAATAGAGTATAAAATTATTCTTGCAATTCAAAACCATTTTAATCCTTTGTTCGGGAATGATAATCAGAAAATGCTGAGTGGTGTAACTCTGCATATCTGATCTCTCAAAGATATTTCAGACTAGAGCCACCGCAATGGATGCACTGAAAGCAGCCTTGACTGCATTTGAAAGTGTCTGCCTTCTTTTAATGCAATGTTTTATTTTAAGTGTTCAGATTCAAGTACACTACTGTTGTTAGTGTCCTTCTTTCTGGGTCTTGTGTAAATAACTTTATCCAAACCTTTACATTTACACTAATTTATCACTCACTGTCAAATAATTTTAGCTAGTTAATCTTACTCTTTAGCATTGCAAAAGTGACCATTGAGAATCTTCCATGAGAAAAAACTCAATTTCCCTGGAGAAGCATAAATTGCAGTTTATGCTTCATATTAAACTAGATTAGCAACTACTAAACTAAAAGCTGGCAAACCTTCAGGCAAACCAATGAGACTATCCACTGTTAAATTAGACACATATAAGAGGCCACCAAATTTCCCTAATCCCACCTATAACAATATTCAAAATACTGCTGCTCACGAAGTTAAACAGTGACAATCTTTTTTAACTTGTCTATGTTACAAATCATTTCAATGGGAATTCTGCCTCAGTACGCTCCAAGAGAAAGCTTGGGAAGTTAATGTTGCTCATGTCCATCAAATACTACAGCCTTTTTTAAAGTCAGTTCACACAGCGTCATGAAACTTTGGTAAAGAATGCTTGAAAAGCATTAGTTCTAGTCTTCAGGCAATTGAAACTGCCAGGACCAGAACATATCCTACTGACATGGGGAATGTAGCTTTAGACACCTCCACATAAACAAGCACAAATGTGCTGCTGGGGCCTCACTCTGTGAGTTAAGTCGAGAGAGTCTTATCAGAGTTTGCCAACTAACTTCCACAATTCCATCTGCAATAAGCATGTTCTGGCCTAAGGGCTGTAGGGGCTGAGCAGGACTTCTTCAGTTGTTCCTCTCTGTATTTATTCAAGCAGTAAACACTGAAAACAATAGTAGGCGTCTGTCCCTCATATTCTCACTGATGCCTTTCCTGGCACCCAGGCACTATGGAGGAAAAAGCACACTACAAGAACACATCAAATGTGTCAGTGCAAGGGGAGAATGGGACAAGCAAGGACGACTCAAGAGTGAGATCTGGTTTAAGGAATCAGCAAAAGGAGCAATCTCAACTCTGACATTTGCTAAATGGCAAAAGATTTGAGGGTGGGATATATCAATTCTGAAAGTCAGTCCATTTTTATGCCTTTAGTTTTAGGAGTATCTTTTCAAATTCTGTACTTAAAGTCCAAATATTAAATAAAAATGTATTATTATACCATTTCCTATTTTTCCCTAGGACTGTGTTTTGAGTTTGGAAGGTTGTTTTAAACAAAAATTAATGCAGGCAACTTGCTTTTTTCAGTCTTGTTTATAAGAAGTTTTCAATGCCTTCTCTTTCAAAAACATCATCAAAACAAGGGGAAAGTGTTTCCTTCTTCACTGCTCCAAACATGTTTCAGGTAACACTTGTAACAAAGCATCTCTGAGCACTTCTCTGGATTATGCTTCTAGAGTATGTTCAGGCATGTTCCCAGCTTTCCATTCCTCTGCATCTTCCACGACACTTTCTTACTGCTTCTGCCCCTACTGTAATAATTAATGAAATCTCTTCAGCCACATGCTTTACTTTGGGTGGTGAGAAATCCATCCTTTTGGATTTTGAGTTTTGTCTACTGTTACTTAAGGAAGATAATTATAGAATGGAGTTGACTGCCCCTCTCCTTTCTCTTAAATGACAGGTGGTACAACACTGAGTGTTTCAACTTACCCTGACAGCAAGCCGAGTAACAGCTGCATGTGAAATATATTATAACGTTGCCACTCTACAGAGTAACTACAATCCAGTTCTCAGAAGGAAAAATTAAATAGTCTAAAGGATATAGACAAAACAATTACCTGCAATTCTTTCAGGATTAGTTCTCATTGTTTCCATAAACTGAGTCATAATGATCAGTTCTTCCCAGATTCTGCCAAGGTCATGGATTTCAGGGCCTTCCAGCAAGAGCTCCTGAGCATCTTTATATACCCTTGCAAGGCTGAAAGGAGAAATAGTGAACAAACAATAATTTAAGACCGATGATTCTTGAGAACCTCTTATATTAAAAAAAGGAAAAACAAAACAAACAAACAAAACAAACAAACAAACAAAAAACCCCAAAACACAAAACACCAAAAAGGCAAAGTTGACTTCCTCTGTCTTAGGGATGAGGAAAAAATAAATGATTTTGTTCTCAATCTCAGGTAGTGTGAGATTCAGTTAGATTTGAAGTCCGTAGAAGGCTTAAGAAGGCTATTGGTGTTGCAGAAGGTTGACCTCTCCTACATTAGCCATGCTAATCTTGTTGGGGAGACAGGACCTTCCTGAGACTGCATGCATCCCACAGTTCTGGTGCAAATCTGCTCTGACTCTAGCCCAGACTCAGCTCCAGTGGTTGAATGGGGCATGCTGGGCACAGGCAGCTCTGCTCAGCCAGGTAAGTGACATGAAATCAGTCAGACACAGAATCCTCCTCCCTCTCTAACATCAGTCTCCTCCAATGTAACACTGGTGTTTAGGTCCCTTCAGAACATTTCTTCTAGGAGTGGCAGGAAAACACAAGGGACAAATGGTCACAGGCAGTTGTTCACCTGCTGGGTCTGGGTTAGAACACGCAGATCATGCAAGGGTGCCATCAGGTCCTGTGTTTATGAACAAGTATAGAAAATTCTTTTTGTCAGGGCAGACCATTACATTTCTTGAACAGTATTATGTTTTCCCATACATAGAATCATATATATCAGTCCTTATGGTTTATTTTAGCTTGAGGAAACAGTAAACAGGAAGGATCGAATTCTTTCAGAAAACACAATGTATTTATTTCCGTTGGAATGCACTGAATTTAGTCCAAGTGACAGTTTGCTCTGTAACAAGTAACCTAAGAAAGCCAGAATATAAAGGAAACAAACCCCTCTAGCTTCACTGTGAGATCGACTGTATCCCACAAAAATGTTCAGCTGACCATTTTAAACCCTGTTCACTAGGAAACGAGGTCAGCTAGTAAGTTAACCCTAAGCTACAGACTTTCACATGACTGGAGCTTCCATGGCCTTGAGATTGTTAGCTCACAAATTTTAATGATTGGATGCTCCAAAGTGGACTTTGCAAAGGGAGATTTGGAGCATTTTTTTATATTTATTCTAACAGGTTTTTATTCTAAGGGGCCTTGTCTGCTATGCTGCTTTTCATAACCCAGCTATAACAAACAACACAAGGAAACACTCCCACAGTTCTTCTTCAATAACAGTCAGGAAATCTCTCATCCTCCTGCTTTGCTAACAAGCTTAGCACTGAAGGCTACTGTGCTGATAAGTCTCACAAGTATACAGCCAAAACAAGTGCTACATAAGAACTGGCAGTGCAGGTTCTTCTTTGCTGCTACTTTATTGGAGCTCTCATCCAGGAGGGACAACTCAAGTGATGAGAAAAGAAGGCTTAGGGGGTTCATGCTCTTATATCAAAAAGATCTGTCTGTCCCAAGACATTCAGTAAGCAGTCAACAACAGAAAGGATGGATTTTATTAAATGGACATGTGTTCCCTAGAGACTAATACAACTGAAGTCTTTCAAAAGGCCCAAACCCACCCTCATGAGCTCTGTTTCAACTTTGCTGACCATTGTTAGCATGAAACCGATGCTCCAGAACTGAAAATTTTTGTATTCCACTGTTTGCACACTGGTGCCTTATTAAATGTTCACCCTTCCCTTTTCATTCACACCAAAGAACTATTCTTTAAAATACTCCTGGGTGCACTGAGGGACCTTTCTAAGCAGGTTGGGGATACTGTGTCTTTTCTCCTTGTATCATTCATGCCCAGGAACACTCAACAGTTGCCAAGAGCAGGTTACCAGCAGCTGCCCTGCAGGCCGGTACTGCTGCAACCCAGTCTCACACAGACAACTCTGCTTACATGGAATTTTTGTAGTTAGACACTACACCTGGACCCTCTCCAGGGGTTGGGCTGCGGAAACAGGGATTGTTCATGTTACAGAAGATGCCATGTAACCATGGCAACGTTCCTGCTGATGGCATTGCCTTGTTTGGGAAGTGACCTAGAGTATGGAAACACAAAATATAAATTGTTAGGTGCTGTCTAATGCAGCCTGTGGGAATCTAAATAGCATGATTTCATGCTATTCACTACAGAAGGACTGTGATACCAATCCTATAGGTTTATTTTTTACCAAAAGAATAAGAAGTCACCAATATAACCAATAAGGGTATTTTCAACAGAAACAAGTTCTGAACTAATGTGGGGAGGTTTTTCCAATAGGTAGTGTGCTAGTACTTTCTTCTCAGTAACAGAATTACAGAAATCCAAAACTTGGTAGAACCTTGAAACTTCATGCGTGTCTGACCAAAAAGCACCTCACAGGAAAACTAGAACTATTTTCTTTCTCCTCACTGGTAATTCTTACAATATATGGCTATAAATAACTAAGCTACTTGAACTAAAGTTTGTTCTTTTGCCAGAACAATACTCCACAAGCAGGTCCCAGTATCTCTGTCTGAGAACTCTAGCCCCTACCTAAAACAAGTCCGATCATTATAACATCTTAAACATTCTTACATTCATGTTGGCGATACAGTGGATTAGCTTTCCTCAGCCAGACAAGGGCAAAAAATAATGACAGAGGCCATACAAGCTCCACTAAAAAACGAAGCTGGAAAAAGAAGAAAAAAATTAAAATAAATTTTACAAATAGACCACCATAGAGTCACTAAGTGAGTAACAGGCCCTTCTCACAGCAGCAATGTGCTGCCCAGTGCAGCATGTGCCCATGGTTATTATATGCCTCTTTCACCATTTCAAAAGGACACCCAGAAAGAGTGAGGATTCATCAGAGTGCCCTGAAGCATTGCCATTAACTCAGTGGCTTCTCTACCTCCTCTAAGAACTATCTAAGCATCCTCACTGAGGTAAGAAGAGGCAGCAGGTAGTAGATGACTCTACAACAAGGATTAGATGCAAGGGAGAAAAAGTGTGGGGGTTTTTTTATCCACACTTTAACACTGCTGAGCTCATTAGTAAACTGTCTGTGCATTGTGCTTACTCAAAGGTAAAAGACTTCCACATAAGCTTAACATTCTTCGACCTTTACTTTTGGTTTGTCACCATTCATTTCAACACAAATAATTTCCTAGTACAGGTAGAAATGTACACATTAGGATCAAACACCTTATTCAATAACATAGAAGATTCCATTAAAGACCACTTTATTGCCCAGATCTTTCAACAGACTTGGAACAGTCACCAGCTCTCGTGTCATGACAGAAAATCAAGGGCACTGCTTTACCACAGAGCAATGTCCTGCCTGTTTCTCAGTCTGTTTCCTCCATTCCTGTGTTTCAGTTTGTTTTAGTGCCTCTGTGTGTTTTGGCAGAGACTTGAAACTACAGTCCTTTGACCCTGTAACACAGGCTTTGGGCTCTGAGGGACAGCAATGGGATTTTTGTGTCCAGACACGTGGCACTTTTTTCCTCCTCCCTACAAGAGAGAGGACAAAGTATCTTCAGAACTGAGGTTGTAGCACATGCCCAGGAAAGCCCTTCTTGCTTCTTTACCTTTGCTCCCTCCTCCCCAACCAGGTACCAAAAATATAACAACAATGAATATAGCAGCAGAGCCAAAGACAAGATGGGTCACATGCAGTTGTTGTTTTGGTCAAGAGAGCATACTTAAGAACAGTTTTCTGGAGTAGTCCTGTTTTTTCCACTATAACTTTGCCTAATAGCTTTAGTTAAGCACAACATATCCTTACAGCAAAACGGTAGAAAGCTTCACACCAGGCAACAATTTCCTACTTTTTTTCTGGTAAGATTCTCTTTTCTAAAACAGAACAATAAAAAAACCACAAAAAAAAACAAACAAACAAACAAACAAAACAAAAAACAAAACACCACAACACCAACCACCACCTAGGAAGTTATGCATGCCTGATACTTTTAAAGCCAGAAAGAATCTTACCAGCAGCAAAGGGCAGATGACACAATTATTAGAGAAGGAAACCTGACAGCTGTTGTGCACAGCTCAGAACAGTGTTACAGACCCTTCCCAGTAGGGTCCACAAGGTGTGATCAACATCCATTGCCACCCATTTGGTAAGAGCTTTGAGACAAGCACTACACACCCATAAACTCACTGGGGAAGAACTGGGGAGACTGGTCATCACCTTTGCTGCAGAGTTCATCTTTGCTAATGCTCAGATGTAGATTCTTTCTTCATCCCCAGGAAATAGAAAATCCTCAGCCTTGAATTGGGTAATTCCTTTCTGTCTGAGCTAACTAGTTTGGAAAGGATTAAAGTCTAAAGCACAAGGGAAGCTTTCTTTCAACCTGGTGCACAGGGTGTCGTGCAATAAGGACAGACCAAGTGTTGTCAGACCTCTGATTCTTTCCTGTGACCCTTTTTCTGAGGACACACAGGTGTCTCAGAATCCACTAGAAGAATCAGAAAGCAGCCCATAAGCCTGCAGAACCACAAGATAAACAGCCAGAAATCCCAGCCACATGCAGAGAGAAACGTGGTCCACACAAAGATCACATTTGATTCTTTGAGGGAATTGTGATTTTTATATGCTGATAAATGTACCAGCCACTTAATCCAGTGGAGTGCGTGGTCCAAAGCTGAGATCCAAAGACTAACACTTTACCTTTTGTCTTTTCCGGAGGATCCAGTTCTTCCAAAGTAGAAGTCTGACTTGTCTAAAGAAGCTCATTCTTCTGCATCAACACTTCTAGTTAACCTGTGGCAAAGGATGCGTTGCCATTTCTCAGCTGACAGCTGAAAACTGAGACCTTAGAGCAAAATAACAGCTTTCTGTTCTTATTTTAAGATGATGTTATCATAGAGATCGGTTCCTTTCATTGTCTGCACCATTTAATTTTGCACTTGATACACTATCACACATGAAAAATCGTGGTTTTCCTTTGTATGGAGGCTGTTTCCTGTGACACATTTATCGGCACCAAAAAGCAGTGGAGAGGAAAAGCATCTCTTTTGAATAAAATAGTCATTAACATTGAATCTGGATATTAACTGCATGTAATGAAGGCAGTTAACCATTGCATTATTTATTAGAATAATCTGTGTTTTAAACTATATTTCCAAGAAAAGATGTATTTACTACTAGACATTAGTTTATAAAAAACCATTTAGTTATTATGACACAATTAGGTTTATCATTCAGACACTATAAATATATATTGATTAACAGAGTCTGGAAAGGATTTAATAAAAGCAAATCCATTTTGTTGCCACTTTTAATATTAAAAAAATACAGGATCTCATATTTTTATGCTTTTAAATTCAGCAATTCTTATGAAATTTTAGTAGGGATACAACAAAATCTAAACTATTGTATGCTCTGTTTTTGAGGTTCATGACTCATAATCATCATGAATTTTTACCTTCAAAAGGAAAAGGAGAATTTGACATATAAATTCAAATATGAGACACAGAGACCTGTTAAAAAATAAACACATCATTTAAATTTGCTACTAACTCAAGTAGAGCAAAACACTGTAGTAAAATAATGGAGTAGAACCATGATAAAAAATAGTACCTAGCAAAAATGTGTAGAGAACTCCACGTGGGTTGAGGAGGTACATGAACTTCTGGAGTGGTTAGTCATGGTGGACATCTATCTTCACTCTTTAAGGGCAGCACCCTGCTCATAAAATCACTGATGGCTTGAGGCTGCTGCAATTAGAAAGTGCACAGGCACTGAAGGAAATTCAATTTCTAAAGAAGAAGCTTATTTATATAAATATTAAAATTCTTTTAAAGTCTGAAACAACCCTGTACACTTATGAACTGTTCATTCAGTTTTCCTTGAAGACACCAGCACAAATTATGACTGTTACTATTTAGAAGGGCACACACTTTCTGCCTGATGGCAACACGCTCAAGGGATGCAACTCATACCCATGGTACAAGAAAATGTGCTTTGTTCGTTTTCCTTTTGCAGGAACTGATTTCCTCTCTGGGGGTTGATTGTTAGAACCAACAAAATAACTCTGTTCTATCATCAGAATACTATTGAAACATTGGAAGACTCTTACAAAGCCTCAACTCGAGAAAATAAAAAATAGCACTTCTTTTTAACTTTGTTATTGTCTTTTTTCCTTAGCAGTTCATACCTTAAAATGGGAGAATGATTTACTGAATACATTCAGAAAGAAAACTCATATATATTGTTGACAGAATAAAAGAAACTGAAATAAGAAATTGGTTACATCAGTCATTAGAGCTAGTTTTAATATACAGTATAATAAATCCAAATACTGGATTTAAATCATAGATACATTATTTTAATTTTTAAATTTAAAAAATCTAATTTATCAAAGTTCAAACTCATCTTAGAACCTCCAGCACAAAATCAGAGGAAAACAATAAGGGTTAAAATATCTTTAAACAATAATAAAAAAAGGCCTTTTCTCACTCATTTTCCGCTTTTATCACCTATATCTTCTTGTTAGACAGCAAATATTCTAGTGTTCTAGTTGGAACTACAAAACAGTGTCTGGATTAGGAATGAAGTTAACCATTTATTTCTCAGCTGATATTACAGGAGGTTGAAGAGAGTCATGCAGTGAATCAAATATTTCTGTGTTTCACTTTATTTGAGGTGAGCAACAATGAGGCCTAGAAATGAAAGAAGCAAATTAGTATCAAATAAAGTTTCATATTTTGACTGGCTGCCAACAACAAACAATAGCTCTTCCCTGACTTCATCCCAGAGGCTCAGTAGAACATTCCAGGCCTCCAGATTGTTAACAACAGTTACTAAAAGGGTCCTCTTACCCTGCATATACTATATAATTACACTTTATTATCAAAAGTTACTAGGAATTTCTCCCAAGCCACTTCTTTAAGCCACTGTCTTCTGGATTGAATCATTGCTAATAATCATTACGGTATGTTCCTGCTTTTTCAACGGAGCCTGAGCTCCAGAAGTACTGACATTGTCACAGCCTTCCTCATTCCCATCAGGTTAAGAACACTGCAGTGTCTTCATAAATTCTCAAATTCCTTAATACTATCATCATAAACAAGCATCACCCTTGGGTAACTTTTTCAGCAAATTCCTTCAATTGTATCTTTGCTGACATGGCCCTGGAGAAGACAGAAGTATTTTCCATTATTTCAAACTTAGTTCATGGGATTTTCAATACTTTCTTTAAGCTTCACTTGTTTTATGAAGGTGGCACAAGCACTTTTTTCCACTGAAGACGATGTTTTAGATGCTGGGAAGTTTCTCTAGGATTTCTAGATAAATCAGAACTTCAGTAACCAGAGAAGATGATTTTTTTTTTTTTTCAGCCCATCAATTTTCACAAAATTTTCTGACAAAATTAATGTCCTTTCTGTTGCTATACTTCCCTTCTGAAAGGCCTGGGAAGTTTGTTCTCATAACGTTTACATGTGTGGATATACAGGTAGTTCATCACATTTTTTCGTGGACCATCACCCTTGAAGGGTGAGGAACAGAGACAGTGAAACACAAAAGTAACTGTTTCACAACACCAGGAGAGGAGGGGAAAAATATTTCATTCTCATCATCCGATTTTCAATTTTATATTTTTTAGAACTTCTACAATGCCAGCATATTGCTCATTCACACAGAAATACCTTAAGCTAAATGACCTTATGTGTTCAGATTCAGAGCTCCAGAGATGCATTCAGAGAGCTTTTCAGCAAGTCCTGTCCTACTTCAGCTAATAGTTACCAAATCAAGTTACATATCACCATTAAATAGCTCATTTCACATCTTCAACATAAATTTACCCCAAGAAGTATGGTCAAATCCCAAAGCAAAAGAGCACAGAGTGAACACTGAATCCTTTACAGATTTTCATCTGTAAGGGCTGGGACAGGAATGCAGCAAAACCTCTCACTGGTGCTCGTGCCGGGCAATGGTTCTGTGTAAGCACTGTTGCAGCTTCCCTCACTACCATGCTGTCATTGTTCTTCAAAGCAGGGGTTGAGCAATAATCCAGTGTTCTTTATTTAAAAAGAAAAAAAAAATTAAAAAGGATGTGACAGTGCTTGCCTGTTTCTTTCTCCTTCACAGGACTTTGGGGAGAGCTCTGAGAATCCTGTTTCAGCGAATTTACCAACTGCTGGATTTACCCCAGAGCACACTGCAGCTCTGACAGCAGAGCACTGCACTCAGCACTCTGCTGCCTTCCCAGCACCACTGCAGGACATTCCAGCCTCGGCACAGATGTGCTACCTAAACCACAGAATTTAACCCAGCCTCCCTCACCAAGGATGACGAGGCCCAGGACCAGGCCACACCTATGTGCTGAAATATGAGCCAGTGGGAAGGAAGACTGGCTTTGGCTGAATAGGATGCTTTCACAGGAACTCAGGGAAAAATAGAGAGTTTATGACCTTTGGAAGAAGGGACAGGACAGCTCAGGAAGAGTACAAGGATGTTATTAGGTCACACAGAGAGAAAATGAGAAAGGTGAAAGTTCAGCTAGAACTGAATCTGGCCACTGCTGTGAAAGATAATAAAAAATGTTTTTATAAATGCATTAACAGCAAGAAGAGGGCCAAGGAAAATCTCATCCTTTATTGCATACAGAGAGGAACATTGCAGCCAAGGATGAGGAAAAGGCTGACGTACTCAACGCCTTTCTTGCCTTAGTCTTCAACATAAGGACTGGTTATCCTCAGGGCAACCAGCACTCTGAACTGGCAGACAGGGATGGGGAGCCACTTAGACACTCACGAGGGCAGGATGGGATCCACCCAAGGCTACTGCGGGAGCTGGCGAAGAGCTCACCAAGCCACTCTCCATCATTTACCATCTGTCCTGGTTAACTGGGGAGGCTCCAGATGAATGGAGGTAGGCCAGTGTAACAACCACTTGCAAAATGGTCATAACAACCACAGGCAGTGCTACAGGTTTGGGGAAGAGTGGCTTGAAAGCAGCCCAGCAGAAAAGGATCTGGGGACACTGGTTGACAGCGGCTGAACATGAGCCAGTGTGTGCCCAGTGTGTCCCCAACAGCAGGACCAGGGCAGTGACCACCCCTCTGTGCTTGGCCAAGGTGCAGCTGCACCTTGAGTACTGTGGCCAGTTCTGGGCTCCTCACTGCAAGAAAGACACTGAGGTGCTGGAGCAAGTCCAGAGAAGGGCAACAGGGCTGGGGAAGGGTCTGGAGAGTGAGGCATATGAGGAGCTGCTGAGGAAGCTGGGGGTGTTTAGCCTGGAGGCTCAAGGCAGAACTTACTGCTCTCTACCTGAAAGAAATTTGTAGCCAGGTGGGGGTCTGTTTCCCCAGGCAACCAGAGACAGGACAAGAGGCCATAGCCTCAAGCTGTCCCAGGGGAGGTTCAGGAGGAATTCTTTCACTGAAAGGGTTGTCAAGCATTGGAATAGGCTACTCAGGGAGGTGGTGGAGTCACCATCCCTGGAAGTGTTCAAGAAACGACCGGACATGTCACTTAATTAGTTAAACACAGTTTAGTTGACAAGGTGGTGTTTGGTTAAAGGTTGGACTCGATCTTGGAGGTCTTTTCCAACCTTAATGATTCTATTCTATCACCCTATGGCAACCTCCTCTTTCACAAGTAGCTTTGATCTAATTTCTGTCAGACACATGTTCATATCACAGCTGAGACCCAGCCTGCTTCAATGTGGGCAGAAAAACAAACCTATATAAAGCCACAGATAGGAGCTCACTCTGATTAACAGCAGTGCGAAGCAGAGAAACGAATACTGCTGTTGCTTTTCAGCTCTAGACTGTATTTAAGTACTTACTGCTACGTCTGAGGCAAACAGATACTTTAATAGTTTTATCCAGCAAACAAGCATTTTAACCCTAAAATCCTAAGTCCAGTTATTTTAAGAAAATGAATCTGTTTTTGCTGTCCACATGTTCACAGAGACAGCTCTAACAGATTAAACTAATCTCTCCTAATTAGATTTTTTACATCACAATTGGATGACGATAGGGTATATTTTGCTTTCTATGATCAACTACATC